CCCTGGCACCCATCCCAACCATCTTCTCAGGAGGTAGGCCAGGAGCCCTAGGGCCAAGTGGATAACGGTTGGGTTGCCACAAGGCGGATGGGATGGTCCCGGGCACTAGGTGCGGCATCGCAACTCGAACGGAGCGATCGGAATGCGGGCGAAAGCGGGCCTTGCTAGGAACGATCGGACCGCTACGAACGGAGCATTTCGGGCATCGCGAGTGGTGGAACAAGGACCCTACTAGTCCCCCAAAAAAAAAACAGTCCTTCAAGTTGGAGGGCGTGATGAAACCCGACCTCCAAGCCCAGAACAAGAAGCGAAGAACCCAAACACACGACCTGGGACAGGGACATATGGCATATTTACCATATATATATATATATACCTCAGGGTGATGAAAAACCCAGGGGTCAATGGGTGCATAGCAGTCCCATGAGTCGTGTTTGGAGTCCGAGAAACCGGTCGACCGACGAAGCATGAACACTACAACGTTGCGGACCACGTCATCCACGTTAAACCCGGGGCCAGACGATTCCAATGAACCTTGAAAACCACTGGCTGGTAGAGGAAAACCATCTTCCGGGCCAAACAGTTAGGGGACCATGGGGACTGGGGGTGCCTAGAGGGTCCAGTCATGCCTTCTGAGCAGGCGCCCTTGTGGAGGTGTAACTGGTGCAATGAATCCCTTCAAACGTTCCGTGGCCTGCAGAAGTCCACGGTTTGCTTCAGTCACCACAGACACAAACACTGCAAAAAAAGATACGTACCTAATATCCATCAAAACCATATCCGAATATATCCAAATATCAATATCCAGCAAACATGTCGACTGCGCTCACATTTCACACCGCCCGCCGACCGCCGAAGGGGGTCCGCAATTTCCGCGCCCACATGCAGCAGAGGCTCCCTCCATGGCTTGAGCTCCGGAGTGAGACTGAAAGAATCCAAGATTCTAAGGGTCGCCAGTGACACTCCGACTTGGTGGTTCAATAAGGGGGTGTACATTAGTGTACATATTTTGTAGAGTCCTCATGAATCATGACACTGTTTACTTCACGTTAATTGAAGTGGACAAAGGATGAAGACGTGGTCCCGGATGACCATTCCTCGAACCAAACAGGTGGTGGTTCACGGTTCACTTCCATGGAGCGTGAGTCAAACGGAGAACCCCATGTTGCACTCAGGTGTTTCGCAGCTGCACAGTAGAAGAAACCCTTACAGATCAGCACGGCGGATGGCATGGCCTTTTTGTGGTGAATCTTCGAGAATTCAGACCTAGATTCATTCCAAGTCGATCCACAAGCACCCATTCGCTATGGGCTTGGATTCGCTTTGATTCCGGGCCAAGGGGAACCAAGGAATAAGTAGGAAAAGCCATGCCTGATGCACGAGATTTCCATCCATTATAAATCCTGACCAACCTTTAATCGTTGACTGTTGATTGATCAAACCGGAGATGTCTTACCATCCAGGCCGGAGAGCGATAGCGATAGTTTATTCATCTAGTATCCAAGAGAAGAATATATCAAAGAGTCACATATCTCTTGACATGCTTTCTGAATGTGGCTCAATTGACGTGACCTCTAGTGGTGGTCACTTTGAAGAAGCTGCTATTCATTGACGTGACTATTTCATGTTGCTTGGCCACTTCAGGTGACTCGGTCTTCTGCAAAAAGAAAAAAAACGCCGGAGTCAGCTTGCCTTCTCAAGAGCCTGCTGCACATGCACGCGGAGTCCAACGGGTGTTGCTCGTGCAGAAATCATTAAGGATCACGATGTTCGCACAGGCAGCTTGCAGCTTGGAGCTTGCTGAGGTGAAGAAAGAAATTGCCAGCATGAGCGCAGCATGAGCGCAGCATGACCAAATTTGGGCCAGAATGGGATATGGTTTTTCTCGGCGGCTCGGGATCCTTTTTCTACTTGTTCAATCTGGTCCGTAATGGTCTAAATATGTCGACAAGTGGGTGTTCGACCACAGACCATAATGCCTGGGCATGGGATGGATGGCCTTGGACCAAGCCACCAAACACCAGAACACCAAGCCCCCCCCATGTCAATGTCACCGCCCGGTCGACCACGATCTGAAGTTGCCTTTTCAGCACTCTATTCAGCTTTCCCGACCAGCAACACGTGAATCAATGCAACCTGGTGGACTGCCAACCCCATTTAGTTCACAAACAGTAAGATCCCCATTCCCAAAGTTGTTAATTCAACTTCCATACTAAATTTGCTGTTGCCACGTTGAGAGACTTCACAGAGGCATCAAAGGCTTTAATCACTTCATCACTAAAATAGAGCTCATGACTGGCCGACAAAGCTCGGTTCTGCCGCTGTGCAAACTCGTGCCACACTCGGCCACTGGGTGAAAAGCTCGACCAACGGTCCGGTCGGGGTGCTGCATGAATTTCCGACGCACGGAAATCGTATTCCCTGACAGCAACCAACAAGAACAAGGATTAACGAAGAATAGAACCATAGACGAATGCAAGCATATATGGCAAATGTATGCACATGTTATCTTGGCTTTTGAGTCGGGCTGTTGTTGTTGTTGTTGTTGTTGGTGGTGGTGGTGGTGGTGGTGTCTGTTGCTGTTGAATCAAATTCGTCCCCAAATCCTGGTAAAAAAAATTGTTCCATCTAAGTTGCTCGTGTCCGTTGAAAAAGTCTACAAAGAACAACGACAACGACATGTTCGCATGTTCGCTTGTTAACTTGTTAACATATACCGGTAGATGTCCCTGTAGCACTGAGCAAGAACCACCAGCTTCACCAGGGAGAGTTAACTTGCTTCCACTCAGATTGAGCAGGCAGCAGGGACAAATTCAGGAAAAGAAAATACAACATCTTAAAGTGGGGAACCAATCCGCACGTCTTCCCAGAAACGTCAAATCACATGTATGTCCGGCCCTCTGAGATGCGCGGCCAGGGAATCCGATGATATAACACAACTTGCAGGTCTGACACATTCAAATCCACCGCGCGATCTACCGCGCGTATCTTTGGGGCGCTTTCGCGAAGGACGAGCCACTGGGTTGTTGGTGCTGATGAAACTAAGTGGAGAGTGACAGCACATGGCTGTAGCTCAATGTAGAATACAGTTGCCAAAGCCAATCCCATCTTGAGCACCTGTAAATAGTCAACTCAAAATCCGCATGGCGATGGACTTTTGATTGGAGCCTTAACAAAAAAAACTCCAGTTTTTGAGTGTGAAGCGATGTCAAGCCAATGATCCTGAATCAATCGAGTCCGCCGCTGCGTGTCCGTGTGTGTCCCCATGTTTGCAACAGCTCTACTAGAAGATAACTGTTGATTCACAATTTTGCAACAGCTCTAGAAGATAACTGAATCACTGAAATCAAACAAAGTAAAGCCAACATATGAAGATGTAAACATTGTCAAATCATTCTGGTAAGCGGGGGGGTAGTGACCAACCGTCCGCACTGCCTCGAGACCTCATGTCGTAGAGATCCCATCAGACTTCTTCGCATGTCGTAGATCCCATGTCCCAAAAACACCGTGGCTTGGAAAGAAATACACATAACAGGATCTGGTAAAATGGTGTCCCAACAGCGTGCAAGAGAAATCTTTGTGAACCAAACTGAGATCCGATCTTCTTTGCTTTGGTGTCCTTTTTCAGGTGGAAGGGCACAACTGCCGACTTTCGCTGCAAAAATATGAAGGTGCCTGTTGGCGAGCTCGTCCTTCGGGTGCTGGAAGTGACTGGCGATCTTCAACAATACATGGCATTCATGGCCCTCGTTTTGTTGATCCTATATATGTGGACACATACTTCAACTCTTCGTTTGAATCTGCTGAATCAATCAACCACCTACACAGCACGGTACTTGGCAAATCAATGAACAGAAACGATAAAACTCAATGGTTCATGTGACCCAGGCAAAACCAGAAATGGACGAGTGACATTGTTGGTCACACGATGGGTACGTTAACCTATACCAAGGTATCGTACGTATGATTTTTGTTGGTGGGTAAACGCTTCAAGTCCCTCAGAGTTTGCATATGTCTTCGTCATGACGAAGCCTTTCGAGATCGATGGCCACTGTTCAGCCACATCCAGCAAGCATCAAAACAACTACAAATGATGGAACTTGAGAAGCGGCCCTTCAGAATTGCAAGAATATATAATAGTTATATACATATGTATTGGCAAGGCTTGGGGACTCTTCATTGCGGCTTCCATGTTGGGTGCTTCACCAAAGAGGTGTCGCATGGTTTGCCCCGATGTCGGGCGCGGAAACGAAGCGCGAGGAGCTGTCGGCCCATTGGGATTGGAACTGGAGGAGGAGGTCGGCCCGGTGGGGGCACCCGGAGTTCGGGTAACTTGCCCTGGTAGGTGATCCTCCTGGGACGGTGATCCTCCTATTCTGTTCAGCTTCGATCCACCAAGGTCCTTTGATCACTGCCGAATCGATGGAATCTACACCTTCCGCCGATCCACCACGGGACCAACCCCTATTCAGCTCGGGCGAGACGTGGAGTACCCCGGATGCGAGATGTGAAGCGTGGAAGCCAAGGGTGAGGTTGATGAAGGAGATCAGTATCCCACTGGACCCAGGCAGACCACTAGACATCTTAAGATTCTTAAGGTTTTTTGGACCTAAGACATCTTAAGACTTAAGTAGAAACCCTGGTTCCTTACTACAAGTGGATCAACAAGTGGCTGCCTGAAATCCGGGATCGGGTCAGTCCCAACTCTAGAGCCCATCTCAAATGCATGTAAATACCTCATCTGTTTGGAACCGCTTTTTCAATTAATGCCTTGAGCTCTGTGTCTTTCACCCACCATCACTTTGGCCCGGCCCCGCGGGGGAACGCTTGGCCATTGGTCCCAGCCACTGGAAAAGCGGCTTCATGGCTCGACGCTCAGAAACCTGATTTATAATGGTAGACTCTTGAGGACCGTAAACCACTCCTGGCCTAAAGAGGTCTTTCAACTCAAACCAGGTGTGTTTTTGATTGATCACGAGTCTACATGATGTGATTTCTTTCACTCCATCTGAAGGATCCTCCCCTCCGGCCATCTAACAGGATCTCCATTTCTGCTTGCACATCGCATCTCTCTGTGCGCCAGCGAATGCCCCGCGCGCCTCATGAACACGGCGCAAAAGAAGTGTCGTCGTCGGTGCTGCATGGTTGTGTCTGGGTGTGGAGTGTCTGGGTTCAAAACATCAAATACATCCATCAAATAGGATCAAAATGAAGAATAAGCATACAATAGACATACCCACCCAAACACTCCATGCAGGCCACATATGCTTAGCATCATCTTAGCATCTATCCTCCCCTTCACCACCCCAATTGGTCAAAGCCAAAAGCAGTCCCAAACAGGAAGTGGGCGCCAGAAACCGACCATAAGAGCTGACCTGGTTTCGCCGGTGAACTTGACAAGGCTCCAAAGGCGCAAAAAGCATCCTGCAAAATGCACGACTGCTGAACTGAATGTCTCACTTCAGGGTGTGGAAAGTCAGTGGCATTCATTGGGTGGGCCAGAGGGTATAATATAGTTTAGACTGCACGTCGCGGAGATCAAGACAATACCACTGCATGCAACAGATTTGCAACAGACTTGAGCATGTAAAGCCATATGAAAACAAACATGCACCTGAGAACAAGGACAAATGTAGCGGATTTCTAGCATCTCTTCCTACGAATTCCCACATATTCCCACTTCCATTCGGAGTCCCGGCACATGTCTGACACTTCAGGTATTCAACGACTCATCCTGTGCAGCTTCGGCGGAGACAGGGGTCGGTACTAAAGGGGTCGCTTCATGGGAACCCGGCCTCACACCACACAAGTGCTCCGTGCTCCCTCTGCTAAAAAATCAACAGAACCTTGGTGACTCTTTCCTAAACACATGGAAAGGGTTGAGACGATCATTGCATCTACAAGAGGTCCATGTTCCTGTTGCATTCTGGGGTATATAAACACATAAAAAACGATCCTTCTCATATCCTCAAGCAGGTCAAATAATTATGGAACACTTCAATACAAGTTCTTGAATTGTTTCATCATGAGAACGCTTGCGTTTTTGAGTATTTCATGTCTGTGACTTGCCCTTTTGCGCAAATGTCATGCTAATCTGTGACATGATGCTTCTTCTTGCCACTACTAGTAGACTGGTGTGGCTATCGTGTGTGTGTATGTGTTTTGGATGTTCGTGTGATGTTCTCAGAGCTTCCTGTCATTGTGCTGGTTCTACTTACTTTTCTGTGGCCATTCATTGTCTCATGGTAATTACAGTTGCAGCAACATGTGATGTCCTATATATTTATTCGTAACCAAAAATAATGTGTATATATGTTGAGTGAAAACAAGCGCTTGCATGATGTATATATATATTGGTCTTCTAATGGTGCACCCCCGCAGTGACACACCAAACGTTCTATTTGATCCAATCATTTTACACTCCTGGAGTAGAGAAAAAACAGCAATTAGAATTGCGGGTAAATCACGGGTAAACCCAAAAAAAACGTTTCCGGATTAATTCATATTCTATCTACTCCAGCATGGCATCCCGCAGTACGTTGCCTCCACCCAGAACTGGGCTGGTGGGAGGCGACCTGAGAGCGAACGAGTCATCGAAGGGTATCCATTTGGAATGAGGGACAGCGGCAAACATGGTGCTTTTGGTAAGCTACATCAATATTATTATGTAGTACGTTTTTAAAGGTCAAACTGTATAGTGTATAGCTTTCTACAAAACAGGAAAGGCAGCTCACCACTGATTCGGCAACAGATTAGGGGGGTCGTTTCAGGGGTTCTTCCTCTCCGTCGGTGACCAATGTTCTATTTCAATACTAGGAGTTTCCAGCGCGTTCGATCCGCTGACCTGAGGGGCAGCAGACCCACGGACCCTTTTCAGAAATCCCTTTTCAGACCCTGAATGGCCATGAGTTACTTCGGATTCTCTAAGATTCCCAATGGGCTGCCCGGATTCCCAATTGGCTGCACTGCTGAAGAATGAGTAGGAGGATCCTTCCAAACCGCCAAGATGTCAACAACGACATCTGGAAGTTGGTCAAGGAACCCAGGAAAATATCACGGCCGGTGTGACAGAATACAGGTCCCAAACGCGGTATCACGTAAAATTTACCTTATCCAATATATCACACCATACTTCACACAAAAAAGACATCATGTATCATGTATCACATCTTGACCTAAAAACACACCCCTGACAACCCCAAAAAGTCCACACTCCTGATGTCAGTATGCCAGTCCCAGGGTCCCAGGGTCCCAGGGATACAGGGGAGTGGTGGACTCTCCCAGTCGCTCCGCGAACCTCGCATCGCATCGACCCAACACCGACCGGAACAAAGAAATCGCGCGACTTGACCGAGCTTCCGGAAACGCTTTCACGGAAGCAACACGACACGTACATCACGAGATACACTGAGATACTGTATCACGATATGTAAGTCATGATCATCCAGGGCATGTGTCTTTCTGGAGAACTCCATTCTTTTTCCAGGGGTCCCAGTTTTCGTCCATTGGGGGGTTCATGGCATGGTGTGCAGTCCGGAAACGCCGCGTCTGCGGTTGCGTCCGAGCATCTGCGGCCGGGGCATGCAGCTGCCTGACGAGGTCTCTGGGTAAGACGCCCGCTTCCGGCCGAGCCCCGCTTCCGGCAAGGCCAAGGCAGGCAAGCAAGGCACGTGCATCATCTCCAAGTCTGGAACATGCAACAGCAAAAAGCTGGTTGTTTCATATCTGGTTGTTTCATTGTTGCTTTTGACAATGCAACATTGTCAAAAGCAAAATGCTGCGGACATGTGTGTTCTCCGTGGTCTCCAAGCTCTTACGGACGCGCAGGGTTGTTACCTTGCATTCACCCTGCACCAATGCCAATACCTCTGCATCTAAAATCTATAAAGACATGAAACAAAACCCATCCGTTCGCCGACAAATCTGAAGAATCTGATGACAATTTGTCCTCAAATGACACCAGCTGTGGCCATGCCTTGGGGGCATCCTGGACAGAACACCTCCTACTAGAACAGAACCATTTATAAGCGTTCCCGCAGCGTTCTTCGATCCTGAAGACGACTTCGATCCTGAAGACGATCGAAGGTCTCTCGGTGGATGTGGATCAGCCCCCCATCGAGGCGATTCGAGGCGCCTGCAGCCATCTTTCGATCCATGGCGCCGGGATGCGCAGCATGTGTGCTATGGGCCTGGCTTGGCTTCAGTGTTGGCGCTGCCACAGCAGCACCCAGAGGTTTCAGGCTTTTGAGAGGTTTCAGGCAGGAGGGGCCAGGCCATAAACGGGAGTGGAGATGAACGTCGGACCACAGCGGAGGAGCTCGGACCAGCGGAAGGACCTTTAGGATCTCCTGAAGCGGTTGCTTGACTTCAGCTAAACTTCTTGGGTGACTCACAGAATCTCTTTCTTCGATTTTCTTCGCGGTTATGGAGCGGCAGCAAGGGCTACTACCCATTTGCAAACAGTGAGATCGTCCTAGAGGATTTGGGACCATGAGCTCATTTTGGTGAGCATTTTGAAGATCATCCCAGCTAAACGTTCTTCCTCAGCACCCCTTGGGCATGCGGCATGGCAATTGATCCAGCCTGCCATGGGCCTCGTGCACTGCTGGGGCCCATTGCCTGCTCAAGTGACCAAAGCGACCATGATCTGATGGCAAGTGCAAAACGCAAAGCTCAGGAGACTGAATATGAGAGTAATCAGTGGGGTTGAACATCCTCAAACAGGGATAGATTCTAATGGGGTCTATGTATGTTTCAGAGAAAATCCGAGAAAATCTAGAAGCGGAGACAGGAGACACCTAAAGTGGAGGAGACACCTAGTGGAGACAGGAGACCCCTACCCTCATGTCTGGTGGCACGGTATACATCTCTATACCTACCCCGACCCCTCCATCCCCGACCCCGCGCCTGGCGCTGCGCCGTGGGCGCCTGCCGAGGCGCTGAAGCACCCCGCGGAGAACAGGGCGGGCTGCCGAGCCGCCGTGGCCTCAAGGCTGCGAGGGAGGCGAATTCGCTGGACCCGAAGCAACTGCTACATGCCGGTTCGGTCCATCCACCCTGGCAAACTGAGGGGTCCAAAAACCCTCAGTAGGAACTGAGGATCCTTTCTGAGCCGGTATATAGCGATGGCCTCAAACCTATACTAGCGATGGCCTCCAACCTACTAGCGTAGCTTCTCATGGCCGTTGAGTCTTCGGTTTAGTCACCATCAGAAGTCAATGACCACACCAAGGCACCCATCCGATGCATGCGACTTCCTCATGCGAAAAAGACCTCTGCACTTCCCGACCGTTGCACTTGCCGAGACCGCGAGTCCGAGGTGTTCGATCCCTCTGCTGTATTGATGTGGCGCAGAGATCTCGGCTGCGAGCCAAGATTCGGCACCCAAAAAAGGGGCTACGAGACTTGCACAAGTGTGCCCATCAGTCGCAATTAACTGAAAAGCAAGGTGAACAACTGCTCACTACTTGCTGGAAACCGGCAGCAAATGGTTCCAACTTTGCTGCTTTTGGGGGAACCTCCCACATCTTGCCCAGTCCGCACTGCAGAACTGAAGAAGTGAACACACCAAGAGACTAAACCCATCCAATTCCCCAAAAACCGACCGCCAAAAGGGCCAGAGGCCCGTACGACTGGAGCCCTAGGGTTCTTTGCCCAACCTTGAAAAACGTCCGTTCCGTGACCGTCGAAGCTTGGATGCACTCGCCCCGATGCCGTTGAGCGGCTGTGCCACCGTGGCGGAGACAATGTGGGGCACTGGCCTTGAGAAAGAAGGGAGGGTTTATAAAAGGGTCCAGGACAATTATTGTATATGGCAAATTCTCGGTTTACACCCAAAAGTACCGTTAAACCCAGATACATCCGGATACTCCAAAATACGCTTCAAGGTAATTAAAGAATCGCAAAGTATAAGCCAAACACTCTGTATAGCTATGTATGGAAAATAGATTATTCAACGTGTATTCGTCTTTCTTCCTTGCCCCCCCTCCAGGAAAAAAGAAGTTCCCTGTCATGCTTCTGACATAGCTGTGTACAAATGGCACATAAAGCAACAAGAAGTAATTCTTGGGGAGGAGAGGAAAATGATAGAAAATGCTATATCAGTCAGGTCAAATGCTCCGCGAACATGTATCGAGCTTAGGCGGGTTTAACGGATTGTGTTTCATTAGCAACGGGTTGGGGAACTCCCTGTAGCTTCAAACGGCTCCCTGATTAATGGGGAATATAGATACCACCGGCTCCTTAGCTCCCTCCCAGAGCCCTAAACCAGCAGCTAGTTTAACTTTCTCCACTTGGGGTCCAATGTCTTTGACACAGCTTGCGCCTCTCCCAACTCTTCCGTGCCTGAATGCTGGAGTTTGCGTCACAGGTGCACCTGGAGAGAGGCTGGTCGATGGTCGAATCGTGTGGTCCAAATCGCAAGGAGGCGATGATGGACGTATTGAAGCCATGCATGATGGATGAGATATTGTCATGCTCAGCTGAGATCACACTACTGAGACTTGTTTGATAACTTGTCTGACAAGGTCAGACAAGTACAAAACGCATGTGGGATAAAGCACCATCGCATTGGAAAAGTACAGGGAGACAAAACCCTGGTACTCATCTGTAGAGCAGAGGCTTCCAGTCTTTTGCAGTAGAGCCATCAATTCATTCAATACAAACAACATCAAACAACCACTTCACAAAGCCCAAGTGGTGATCCAAAGATCCAAAGAAACATCGAAGAACCAAGCCTTGGGTGTATCGCCATCGCCTTCATCGAAGACGAGGACGACTCGAGGCCCGGGCGGGTGGGCGTTGACACCTTTGCACCCGGGCACGGCAAGGACCTGGTCGGACGAGCGTGGGGCGATTTGATTTGGGATTCAAAGGACGGGCAAACAGGTGTTGGAAGCTGCACAAGTGGCTTACTAATGCTAGCGGCTTAGGTCACAGACAGCGGGAATGTCAAACTATCAACAAATGCTTTTACATGGTCTACCCATGTCTTACCAAAGAGGAGATGGGACAGGGAGATACAGGGAGATTCACAGGCTACGCAAAACAGGCTGCACATGGCTAAAACTGCACCGATACGGCCCTTGCTAGGCGACCGCGTGTGTTCTTTTTCCAAACGAATGTGTACATGGATGAGCTTAGAAGCCGGCGCTGTAGAAAAGGATCATATATTATCAGTGGTACTATCATGTACTATCAATGGTGCATGTGGGGCACCTTCTGCCAGAAGCCACCTTCCCACATAGTCACACAAGGATGGAGCAGTGGTTGTTGTTGCCCGCCGGTACCTGGAACCATCCTTCAAAACATGTATGTTTTCTCCTGTAGAAGTTCCTAAGTTCTTTACACTCCATGTTGGAGCGATGCTTTTTTGCCTGGAAAGCTTCAGGAATTTGCAACGGGAAATCACCTGCAACTGTTTCACGCAGCATCCGCCTTCTTGGAAGCTTTTGGAGGTTTGGTTGGCTGATCTGAAAGTGGCTCCACAACCCACCACGCTGATACTGATACTCGAGATAACTGAATTAGCAGCAATGGTGTCCCCAAAAACAACACCCTATACATCCCTATACTATATAGTTATATCATGTTATATTTTGTTATATCATCTGCTTCGAAGCACCGTAGTCTGCTCCATGTCGTCTGCTGCATCTTGACATATGTGGACTCTCGCATGTCTAGATGACCCTTTTATCACATTCTCGAACGGTCCACACCACCCCCGATGTTCCCGTTCTCTGGATTTGGGGGGCAGCTCTACCGAGCTCGGCCCCGGGCAGCATTGGCGCCGCGGCCGCCGCAGCCGATGCGCCGGCAGACAAGATGTCATCCTCGAAGCCGATGTCCCAGCCACTGCCGGTATCCTGCTGCCGAAGTCGATGCCCAGAGGCGTCCAGGTCGGTGAACCTCCGGGTGAACCTCCGGGTGAACTTGAGCATCTTGTTTTGCAGAGATGGAGATCGGGGTGTGTAGAGCGAGTGTCTGGAATTATGCAGCTTCTTCCAGCAAGCAAAGGTAGCTTCAGGTGGCAGAACAGAAAGGCCCTTGGATTCCAGCTAGCAAAGGGTTGGGGAACTCCCTGTAGCTCCGAACGGCTCTCTGCTTAATGATCAAGAGGGAATATTGGAGAATAAATGAATACCTCCGGCGACCCTCATCACTTGCTGGTGAGCAAAAGCTATAGCTAGAGTAGGTCCATGATTGGAAAAAGCCCCGTCTTGACACCCTTCTTTGCAGTCAGTTTGACATGCGAAATCGCCACTGCCAGAGTAGACTCTTCAGGCGAAGAAGTTCCGGTGCTTTCGTGATGAAGAAATCCGAGGTCTGATCACCGAGGTCTGAGCTGTGCAAAAGCCATGCACAGCTCAGATATGGAGGGTTGGACCTCCGAATCCTTTGGAGGCACCCTGGATCTCAAATCTTTTGAGGGACCTGGTCAGGCTGTTTGGAGCGTCTGGGCACTGCCAATCCACAGGATTCCATTCATTGCTATGTGTTGCAAGAGCTGGTCCTTCCACAGTTCCAGCAAACTGTGGGAGTTCTTTGGGTGCAGTGCTCGGGAGCCTCTGGGAAAATGATGCTTCAACTCGATTGGTGCAGGTTGTTTCAACATGTTTCAACTGATCCACCTACACTCTGTCTGGGATGTTTCACCCAGACTGCCAGACCCCTAACCCAGACACCACACATAGAACTGCCGATCAGGCCAGGCGTGGTTGACTGGGGGTCAATGGATAGGCAGTCCGTCCTGGCAGTCCGGAGCGTCGTGTCAGGGAGCCTCTTGCAACCCACAGGGAGCCTCTGGTGACCAGTCGGCCTCTGCGCCCGACCCGGTCGGCCTCTTCCGCGCCGACTCGGTCGACTCGGTCGACGACCGTGCCTTGCCTGGTACGGCATGGCCTGGGGATCCTGGCGCTGCGCATGGCCGCCACCCGATCCAGGTCGAAGGGTCTCGAGAAGAAGCACCAGGAGTTCGACCTGCTATCTTGGAACCCATGGGTACAAGATGGTACAGGCATGTACAGGCGTATTATACTCCTTGGTTTTATTTTGGGGGGTGGGGGTTCCGGTCGGACTCCCAGACTTCCAGTGCTAGTCCATCAGGTCCGTCCCTGGACAGAGCTGACTCAGGGAGAAGGTCGACTGGTCGGCCGAATCGACTAGGACTGGTCGACTCGGTGAGCCAAGAGTGGCTGCCACCGTGCTGAGCCTACACAGTCTGTCGAAGTAGTTCTGTGTTTTCACGCAACACACGAAGAATCACCTGCCACCTGATCACCTGTTGACATCACCGTGGCGGACAGGAGAAGACGCCCTCAAGTGATTACCCTCAACGGTTTCATGGTGCGAAAAACGTGTTGGGAATTGGCCACCCGCTCCCTCCGCTCCCAGAAGTCTCCCAGAAGTCTCCCGCTCCTCGTGCTCGCAATCCCTGAAGTTGCTCAAATCGCGGGGTCCGCGCACCTCATGGCTCCGGCGGAGCGAAGGACCGGCCGAGTGCCGAGTTTCGGAGCGGCTTTTTGAGGTGCTTTGGGAGACACTTGGAACAGGTGACAGGGCCCCCACCGCTTCGGGTTTTGGTGGGGGGCCAAAGCATATTGAAGTCCCAAGAGAAGCACGCAGGACTCACTGAGAGATGTTGAATAGGAAGCGTTGGTTCCGAGCCTGGACGAGTCCAGGCCTATGCCATCCATCCTTGGATCAATTTAACGGAACGCTCCATGCTGAAGATCTGCAACCCAACCAAGTGCAGCAAAGTTCAGCCCTTGTTTCCAACTCTGACGACCCACCTTGCCGGGCGTGTTCTTGTTGCCGCCGGTGGACCCCGTGGACCCCGTGGACCCTCGATCCTCCCCCACCTGAGGCACCAATGGTGGCGTGACGCGCAATCCTTGTAGCCCTGCGGCGATGCGGAGCATGCAGAGTGGTGCTTCGAAGGTGTGAGCTCAAAAAGGATCATTTACGGATGTTCTATACTGTTCTTCAAAGTGACCGAACTTGATATCCTGGTTGGTTCGGTCACAGTCACAAACAGGCCCTAGAAGCTGGTATACACATGTCCACAGTTTTGGGGTCTATCCTAGAGAACCTTCCGGAAACTGACATGGAAGTGGAAAACCACCTGTTTGTAGTGGATTTCATGGTCTTCCTTACGGGGCTATTCTCCACTTCCATGTTAGTTCCAGGGAGTGTAACCTTCCGGTCTCTGCCCTTCCTCTGGTCGCATCCGGTCGCCTGGCCAATCGAAGGATTGGAAGAAGTGGTGCTCTCGGAGCTGCGGGGTGCGGACGCGCACCTGAGGCGGTGCGTGGCGTTTGCGTTTGCGTTTGCAAGCCGCACCGAACAACGGGTCACGGCTGCTTCGGTGCTGGTTTTTGGTGTGAAAACCCGTGAAAACCACTGAAGTGTTTTCTAAAGGAAGTATCCTTTTTGGGGTTATATAATGTTATATACCTTTTAGGAATAAGATCTAAAGACTGTTTTTTGAAGAGGACACCGCAGGTGGATCTTGTAGCTTCCCACTCAAGGCCATTCAACCTCAAGTACTCTATTCCCTGCATGAAGACTGAATTCCCAACGGGTGAGCTTTCCTTTCATGCAAAGACCGAGTATTGATCTGACCACCTGAAGACAAGATCCCACAGCCCATCAACATCAACCCCTAGGGATCCAAGTACCTTCTTAGAAGGCACCTGCACCCTCCAAACCCACCCCAAACACCTTCTGAGAAGGTACTTCATGGATCCCTATAGGGAACATTCAAACACCTTGCTTTGCATCACCAGCAAAATCGCCTCACTGTGTTGTGGCCGATCCATCGTGACTGGGATCTTAAGACCGAGAAGAAAAGAGACCGGTGCTGATAGATATACCCGTACACCGTTTAGACCGGAGACCCGTATATACTGTATATATCTGTATATATATATATACATAGAGCCAAAAGCTATAAAAAGAAGGCGTTTACAGTACCTCAAAGGGAAGGATCTTTGCTTCAGTAGGGCAACATGTAGTGACTACAAATAGGGCCATAACTTTCCTTTTTTCAAACCATACAGCACCACGCGTTCCCGTGCGGTTCCACAGTCAACGCGTGCCTCTGGGTTCCGATGGCACAAGGTGCGAACGAGATCCGTCGCCTGCGAGGCAGGCGGCACACATGTCGACCGATGCTGAGGACTTGGCATGGGAACGTCTGGCGTCCTCAGGAATTTCTGAGATCAAAAAGACGCATCGAGGCAAAAGATGAACATGTTGACCACCTCCAGGGTTGATTCACATCAACCCAAACACTCCGTGCGACTGAGATGTCAACCTACATTGGGATTGGATTCAGGGCCAAGGTAGGCACCTTGTTCCGGTCATGTTGTGTCTGGGCAATGGCATTGTTCCAATTACTCCGGACATCTATGCCCTGTTTCCAGAACTGATTGCGACGGATGTTTCCTCTGGTCTAAAACCCTTGGTCCAACGGAACCTCGGTTCTTCAGTGAAGCCATGAACCAACGAGAAGGATCCCTCGAATCCGGACGAGACTCGTGGTAGACTGGGCTTGTTCGGAGACTGGTGGATCAAGAAGCAAGTTCTAGGGAAGTGTCCGAGGCGGCTGCTCAGGCGGCTGTGCCCAGCTCGAGGTTGGACACCGGTCAAACATCTCGACCGGGGCCGCTTGCTACTTGAGCTGATGAGCCATGGCGCTATCATATGAGCCTATAGGCTCCTAGCACGCCTACCACCCCGCTCATAGATCAGCAAAAAATGCATAGATCAGCAGGTGACGAAAGGCGTCCAGGAGCGGAAGAAGGAACGAACACACCTGGTCCGGTCCGGTTGACCGATGGTCGGTCGCTGATTCTGTACATGTCCGATGGTCCACCAGAGTCCGGTCCCAGGTACATGGTCCCAGGGTTGTGTCGAAAATAGGGAGACCTCCCAGTTCAAACCCCCCGAACAAGAAAGGAAACTAGGCCCCAAACGCCTAGACCTGGAGGTCTTATATAAATGACACATCCATATCACTCCATATCTATCTTGTCCCTTGCTGTCTGTCAATGCGCTGCCCAATACCTTTAGCGGAACAGCCCACGGGTCCGAGAACAAAACGCGCGCCTCTCGCTTGAAGGTCTTGGGAAATGGCACTTGTTCGATGCCACGCTTCACCAAGCTGTAGGTCTGAAGCGAAGGAAAAGGACGGAACGGTCGAACAAGGAGAGAAAAACGTCACCCTGCTCGGCCAGTTTGGACACTGCGGCCACGCGGAGATGCAGCGTAGCCTGGATTTCTCTGCCCCACTTCGGAGAGATGGCACTACATGGCTGTGGATCCAAACCGGGAGACCTTGGATTGGTTGACCACCAAATGAGAACTAGACTGCAAGGGATATGGCTCTGGGGGTCCAGGTCTTGACCCAGACCCACCAAAAAGAGGTCTCAGCGGGTTCGAACCTTCTATCTGGTGGCAAACAGGAGCGACTCCTCCCTCGGCACATAGAAACTTCCCCTCACTTCTGTCAGTAACTCCTCATACAAAGGCAGTATTCTTTTTTGGGAAGACCACTTCCTTTACAAACAGGGGGTGACATCCACGGATGTCACCATGTGATTCAAGTTCCTGGGAGTGGAGTTGTAGAACACAGTTGTTCTCGTTCGGACATGTCTAGTCTGGCTGACATGGGCCACTGGTAGGTCCCAAAAGCCTGACAAATGATGGCAACTTTGATGGGAATGTCACTTTGGATTGTCACTTTAGTAGGTGGAATGATCATAATGATCGTACCTTTGGGGATGCCAAACAACTGCCATATATGATGTCATGGAACGGGGTGGACATTGGGACGTCATTGGAAGCGCAACACAACAAATCAGCAGCGTGTATTGAGTTAACGCCCAGTTTGTACGTCCGGTAGTGTACAGTGGAAGTGGTAAGCGCATGGAATGCGCCTTCACCTAGCAGTTCCAACAATCTGATTTAGTCACCATCCAACAAAGCCAAGCTTGCACATCATCCTCCAAAAAAAGAAGGGCTCCTTTAGTGCCCCATGTCTAAGTGTCCACGTGATGTGTTCATCCCCGTCCAACCGCCTCCAAACAGGACTAGCCAATCTTCCATCCGGTGAATTCATGAAAGTTTGAGCCTTCCCTGTGTCACCAAGCATCTTCATCCAACATCAACGTCAAACAACAGGACCCAAACCGTGCCAAAACCCTGTGACAGCTAGTCTCCCCACAAAGTCTTTTTTGGGCATCCATATTCATCACTAGATCCCATCAACCCTCGTCACAGCGGATCAGCTTGACATCTGATTCTGCTCAGCCACGGCGTGTTCCCCCCTCAACATGTCATCCCGAAACCAAGCCCGCAAGAAGATGCCCGACATGCTCCATCCATTTCTTCTACCGAACCTCCTGGGCATTCCCTGTCTTGGACTCGAAGGGAGCATGTCCTGCTGAGCGCAGATCACCTCTGGTCCCACTGTGCGAGACCGTACCCCAGTGCGTGCCTCTCCTTTGCAGCTCTACTTGCATTTGCTTAAGGAACCTGAACCAAAATACCACATATTCCCATATATTCCGGGGATCCATCCGCTGCGAAAACCAAAAAATCGCCTGCATCCGCAAAAAAAACAGGTACATATACCAAGCTAGTTCGGCCAAATGAAGAAAAGGGAATCTATGAGGCATCAGATCGTGGTCTTCTAGTGCTCTTCCCCAAGCTTCGAAGCGGTTTTTTCGTTTCATCTCCTGCCAGAAGCTCGAAGAGCAGCACGCCCAAGGTCCACCAGTCTACGCACTTGGTGTGCCCCGTTTGGTCAATCACCTGGCCACAGGTTCCGACCGGTGAAAGGGCGGGAGAGGGTCCAGGGTGAAAACTGTGAAAACCACGTGGAAGTGAAGTGAGGTGCCCCAGACCAGGATCCAGCTTTGGGATTGGGAAATCTACTTGCTGTACTTGCTGTACTTGCTCATCATACGCCAGAAATTATAGTACTTGATCCATGATATACATCTACACTCCGACTCACTAACATGGAAGGGGGAAGAACCCTGTTCGTAAAGGAAAGTAGTCTTCCAAAAGGTGGTGGAACCCAAAGTGGTGGAACCGTGTCGGGGAAGTCCTACCAGAGTCTGGAAAATTCTTGAAAACTCTTGACTGCTTCCTTTTCTCTACGCCGCGATGATCTCCAACGGTGGCACTTTGGATGTCCTTTCGACAAACTGCCGCACTGCCTTGTGAGGCAAGTTCTTCTTGAAACTGAGCATCACGGCCTTCTGGTCACCGCTGCCATCAGCCTTACATGTACACACTCATGTGTACACATCAGCCAAGGAACCGGTCCAAAATCACTCACGCGCAGCTCAAAGATCATATAATCTTAATGCAGGTTGGCAGCATTCTGCACTGAACCTGTGCTCTTCAGCATCGTCTGGCGAGTGTGCGTTGGCAGGCGCTTCTCCAGGGACTCCAACAGCAATCTGCACTGCGTCGCTCGCCATCACAATGACCCATTCAGCTTTTCCTGGGCTGCTGCTGTGTGGGCACATAACTTGAAGCAGTCAAGGAGGCCTAGTAGGTGGGAGGCCATCACTAGTAGCAACTATTCAAGGCGATCGCTAGCAGGTTGGGGCCCCGTGCTAGTAGGTCGGAAGCCGTCGTTAGTAGGCTAGTAGGTTGGAGGCCATCGCTAGTAGTTTGGAGGCCGTACCATCGCTAGTATAGTAGGCTGGAGCCCATAGGTTGAAGGCCATCGCTATAGAAGGTTGGAGCAAACAGTGTCAAATGCTTTCATGGCTACAAAATATGGCATCTGGGTAGTAGGGAAACCTGGATGTCAATCTGGAGCCTTCTGGGATTCCGCATCTCAAAAAAGCACGGCGTGATGTTGATAATCGTTCTTGCCTGAGCTTCTTCTGCACTTTCCGGACCATGGACGAGAACAAAGGTTTCGGTCTTGAGCAACTTCCAAGCATCATCTCAAAATTTGCACTTGCTCACCTGCAAATATTTTGCTTGTGTCTCACTCATGAGCCAGGCCTCCTAGGCTGGCCAAACAAATCCTATATATACCCATTCATAGTTTGTTAACTTTGACGATTGTGGTGGACAAGGTGGGCCGGAGATCATGCCATCTACTCGATGCCAGCTCTTGTAATCACATCTGGTCGCATCTCCTGCGGTCAGGTTGGAGGCTGCTTGGGGGGCCATCGCTATTAGGTTGGAGGCCATCGGTATAGTAGGTTGGAGGCCATCGCTGGAGGCCATCGCCAGTAGGTTGGAAGCCTATAGTAGGTTGGAGGCCATCGCTGGTAGGTTGGAGGCCATCATAGCCATCGCGAGTATGTCGGAGGTCATCGCTAGATCGAAGGTTGGAGCACATCGCTAGCCATCGCGGTTGGAGCAGACAGTGCTTTCATGGCTGCCAATATTCGAGCCAAAGCCTAAGTTTTCACCAACTTATGTGCATCAACAAGTGACAAGCTGTCCATGAGGCCCCAAGACGAAGCTGTCAGCAGCACCATGCATTGCACGCAGCGGGCCATACAGGCTTCTATCCAGGATCTGCACCTCCAAGGTTGACTCGTGCAGAAAGGCATTGATGCCAGAAACTCCGTCGCAAGGAAGAGCTAGCACCAACGGCCGCTGCAACTGCGGGAGCCTGATCGATGCATAGTTGCTGTTACTAGTTGCCCATCCCCATCTCCCACTACATTAAAAGCCCTCAGCAAATGGCAAGATCACATAGAAGGCAAAATGCTATCAAGCCCTGACAAAGCCAGGCGACCGGTCAAATTTCCCAAGCCAGCCAGGCAAAGGATGCCCTTCAAGCTGCTCCACGCCATGGACGCTCCGGGAGAGAGAATAGTCAAGTCTTGAATCTTGAACAACTGAGCTGACTGTATTTGCCAGGTCTATGTTGGAAAAAGTTGTGTTCTAAACTCTTCTGGTTCAAACCTGAGTCATTCCTGAAGTTGACTGGACCAGAATTGATAAGCCCGTGTGTGTCTCAAGTCTTTTAACCTGAGTCTATTGCGTGTCCATCGACCTCAAAAGGTCACCCTCAGTTTGAAGCCGAAACGGATGAGAGGCTGGAACGTCACTTCTGTTTTCAAGGCAGCAAATCGAGTTATTCTTTGTTTCAAGGCACCAATCCCCCCCTGCCATTATTCAATGACTAAGCTGGCGATATGCAAAGTGGAGTTCATTGGTTTTCAAAGGATCATACAGGAATTTACAGGTTGGTTCTCGCCACTTTGCATATCGCCAGCTTAGTTAGTCATCAAATGAGTTAGTGAGTCAGAGTGTAGACCTACTTATGACCACATGCCGCATGCCCATGTCATCGTAACATGCCTCGCTTGCCCGCGAAGATCGATCGATCGATCCGTTGCTTCCGCCTCTGGAGCCATGTAGTCTGGTGTCCCCACCATGGTGAAGGTTGGACCTCGGGAAAGGTCGCGACTTGGTGTGGTGGGATGTCACGTGGTGGGCAGGCAGCAGCCGGAAGCCGCGGCCTACAATGGTTGCAACGAGGTTCGATGGCACAAGTTTGTCCAAGTTAAGGTGGTTTCGTAGTGCACCCCCATTAGTTTTTAAGACATCTTGGGGTGCCACGTACTCTGAAACCACTGTAGGGATCCAGGTGAGTTTGACAGTTCATCGATTTCGAGAGCACTTGAGTCAAAGGCCCATCCAGTGCGCATGTTCCTCTGTCTCACGCCTGTGTCACGCCTGTCTCACGCGGGGAGTGTGGCTGACACTGTCAGCCAGCAGGATGCCTTTTCTCCATGATGCCCACGTAATCATCTCTGTAAACACACTCGAACTCTATGCAAAGATATGGCGTCCGATCGGTGGGCAATGCATCTAAACAAAGGCCGCCGATCCTATGGACCCAAGTCACCCGAGCCGTGGTCGGCGATCTTTCAAGCCGTGTCTGATGATGTCTCATCCACTTCTAGGGTTATAAACATAATGAGACATCTTCTAATATGGTATCATGATATTAAGATTATATATATATATGTGACATATATATATATATCATGATATCTATCATGCATATCTTCTGATACAGCTTGTGCATATGACTTTTCAGGTTCCTTCAGCTTGGATGGCCGCACCTACCATCGAGCCCGTGCGCGACTTCAGCCGGGCGGCTGGTCGTGATCTTCGCCAAGCCCATGTCTGTCACCTGGCTCATGCGGCGCACGTTGGTGGCCCCAGCTTGGGTAGGGTCCGATCCTCCAAAAGAAGAGACTTGATAAACACATGCATACCCCAGGACCGCAAACAATTTGTTCGACCAACCTGTCACGGTCACGGTTCTGTCAAGACTTCTCGTTTCAAGAAGATTCCCCTCTGTCACCATGGGAAATGCCCGTGAAGTATGCCCTGATATGATCCGGTTGGTGTTTCCCCGTTCATCTCCGTTGATCAGGTTCATGCCCCTCCTTGTGTCTTATATTTATGAGATTTTTCTAGTCACAGACTGGGTCAGCTCCAGTTGAATTGTTTCGCATTTTTTTGCTGTTTTTTCTGCATTCTGATGTCTATTGGTTTTGCTGTTTTTTTTTGGCTGTTCCTTTGGCGTTCTGTTTTGCTGTTTTTTACTGTTTTCTTTTCCATGTTTTTCTTTTTTGGTTCCCCTGCTTGCAGCGCTTGCAGCAGCGCAGAGTTCTCACACTTGTACCAGTGAGGCCAAGAGCATTGGCAAGTGCATGTAAAAATCATGAGTAGAACATGTGGCAAAGCTTTTTCTGTATGGCAGAAGCAAGGCTGGCAAACCACTGGAAAGAGCGCTCATTTGCTGGTTTTCCCAGCGTAATATTTCCATGGTGCGCAGGTGCAAAGAAGGATTGGAAAGTAAACTGTGTCTGGCATCCCCTGTGGTGTTGACTCATCATCAAAATTCAGAATTGCAAAAGAATGGCACACTGTTTGACAACCAAAACAACCAAAGTTTTGAAATGGCAAAAAAAACAGCAAATCTCTGTAAACCGCAAAAATTGCAGGAATAGCAGGGATTTGCAATGTTTTTGCAATTTTTTTGCCATTCCAATTTGCCACTCCCCATGCCATTCCCAAAGGGAACTCCAATTCCACCAAGTGTTGTTTTGGCAGTCCCTCCTTTTGTCTAATCTATATTAATCCTTCCAACCAATGCAGGTCGCGTTGTTTCGGTTGTCTGGGATGACCGGTTGCGGCAGCGTGTCCCAATGTCTCCGAAATGAGAGTTGCCTTCCCAGATGTTCTTTACGCTGAAGAGCAAAGATAAAGAACAAACCAAATGGATGCAAACGCGCTTTAAGGCAACCAGCAACAAACACAAAGGACGTACTGTTGAAATCACCCACCAAAGCCACAACTCAATAACAACACGTTTCCTCAGCAAAGGCATCAGGCAGCAAAATCCTCAATACCAAAAAAACACCAAAAAAATGCAAATGCAAAATGCAAAAAAAAAAAATAACGTTAGCAAACAAAAACAGCAAATGCAAACAGTAAAAAAACAACAAAATAACTAGCAAATAATTACATTCATTGATTTCCAATCTCTGGCTGGCAAAAAATCTCATAATCTTATATATATATATACACACACTCCCTGGAATGATCATGGTTACCTGGATGGCATGGCCTCTTGAATGGCCATGAAATCCGAACACCCCACCAGTGGCTTGAAACCCCGTGGTTTTGACGTTCGCTTCAGGGAGTGTATCACAGTGTACATGGGTCTTCCTCTTGATGTTCTCTGGTTTCCTTGTGGTTTTCGTTGTGTGTCGTCTTGTCTTGTCTTGCATTTGGGTCTTGTCTTGCCTTCCTAGGAAGCACTGGCTGGACCTGACTCGCAGGTCCGGGCCAAGTCAGGTTGAAGGGAGGCAAAGACATGTGTGGTTTAATCCGCTGCAAACGAACGAAGCCGAACGTACTTGTGTTGTTGTGTTCTGGATGTGTGTTTTTCATTTTTGGGGGGGACCCGGAAAATGGATCGTCTTCCTCTACAACCCAGTGGTTTGGGGAAGTCCATGTGGACCTCTGCAGGAGGACAAATGGACCCCGCATTCGATCCAAACATTCTTGTGCATTGTCTGTAAACGCTCCATCCTGGTCCTTCCATAATTGGTTGATGGATGTCTTTCCACAAGTCACTCTCCACCCAATCCTTGGTTGGCCAACGACAATAATCTCTTGGTAGTATCCTTGATGGCTTTGCAGGGTGATACTGGAGCGAATCCCAACCATTGGGTCGTCGCCTGGGTGGTGTGCAAGATGTTTATCTTTTCAGTTGTGCATCATTTCTGGTGTACCAACAGAGGTTGAAGGACCCTATAGACTATCCCATAGGTACCCCAGTAGGGTCCCATTTACGGTCACTTAACCTCTCTGGTGGCCCAGCCACAAGTTTCCGGCTTTGTAAGCCACTCGATGTGACCAAGGCTGTCGGCGACCACCTCTGAACACCCGAAGGGACTGCGCAACGCACGTGTCCATCCTGCCTTGCAGAAGCCATGCACGTCCAAGAGCAAGTTCTCAGGCTTCAAGTCCTGCAGGGCAGGACTAATCTGATGCTTTTGGGATGGATCTATTTGATCTATCATATTAATAATATATATATATATATAATGTGCATATGTATACATATATGTATATATGTCCTTTGACTGTCGGGCTTCTAAGGAATTGTTGCGGTACCACCAAGCTTGACTAAGCCTTCACGACTTCAACTCCAGCCGACTTGACGTCAGACGTCATCCTCAACCTGTGGGAGGCCATGAACGGTTGTCTATGCCGCAGGTGGAGAACAGGAGCAACATCTGCGCAACATCTGGCGCAGGTGCTTTTGGAGTGCCTGTGGACTTGAGCGTTTCTGGAAGCCCAAATTTGGACGTTCAGCATCCTCAATGCACACCTCAACCCAAACTAGTGAAACTGACCAAGGCTGAAATCAAGGGAGCATGATGGCACCACAAAGAAGTGACCTAAAAACAATCCTAAACCATCCTATTGAAGCGTGTCCCCGTGTCACCCCCACAGCAGGTGGCCTCTTCTCTCTCTCTCTCTCTCTCTTTTCTTTCTTGAGAACGCTCAAGACAGACTGGAAAAAAGCATGGTCACTTCCATGTTTTCGTGAGTCGGAGGGTATACATTATTTCATATTACCCAGACACTCAGACACTCCATGTATGGCATATTTATACATACATTGACCCCTCAAACCACCCCAACGTAGATAAATATGCAATACATGGAGTGTCTGGGTTAAATTCCATTGATGACCCGGTGATGTGGAGTATGCTCTGGGAGTGGTCTGGACTTTTCGTCCCAGACGTGACCGAGGAGAAACGACAGAAACGTCGGACCACATTTTTGACACCACTTTTTTGATCTCGCGTGACGAGTTCAGGAAGATCCCCCGTTTTGGGCTCCAGTCGTACCGAACCGTTTCGTTTCGGTGGGGCGCCAGGTTCGGGTGCCAGGTTCGGGTCCAGTCATACCGAACCTGAGGCACCCTCCTGGGAGCCTTAGGGATCGGTCTCTGGGTGATTTTTCAGGTGTTGATGCTCATCCGTTTGAAAAGCGCTGGTCATTGAATCCTACACCAGGTCAGGAATGAGGGTCACAAAAACACTGAATGCATGACCACCAAGCAAATACACTCCGACTCACTAACATGGAAGCGGAAAATGGACCGTTGGATAACTATATTCTTCCACAAACAGGTGGTTGTCCACTTCCATGGAACGTGAGTCCAAGGGTATCTGTTGCTATGCATGACCACCACAGTTGTCGGCCACTAAATGTGCACATCAAGGGTTTTGGAGTCGAAGGATGGCACGAAAGAGCTGGAAAAGAGTCCAACTGTTGGGTTTCAGCGACCTCGGTGTCTGACCCGGATCCGAAGCGATGCCTTCCGATGCCGATGCCTGACTGCGACTCGCGACTGGGGGGGAGGTGCGACGAAACCAGTCCGATCGCCCAACTGCGACTGGCGCCCGACACGATAAATCACGTTCTTCTCGTGCAGATGTGCCAAAGCCTCGCGACGGCGTCGAGGACGGCGTCGAGCGCGAGGCGTCGAGGAGCGCGAGGACGTCGAGGACGTCGACGGCGTGGAGACACGTGGTGATCACTTCGATTTCTGAGATCATAGGTTAAAGCCATGGGGTGGAAAAGTCTCAGAGGGTGTTTATTGTGCGAGCTGCTACTAATTTGAAAACAGCATCCAAATCAACACTCTGAAAATTGACATGGTATGTTTGATTTCTTCAAAAGAACGGGTGGAATTATAGAGTTTACGTAAAAGCCATGACACATCAACTATGGGGCGTCACTTGCTCAGGAAACTTCACCCCTCTGCTATTGGTCATTGCAACCATCTTGCCGCAACATCAGAGCTGACTTACCCCCCTGGTCCTTTGAGCACATGTGGGCGATCGGTGCTCCAGATGGATAGCTCAGTCTTGGCTTGATTGAGTCAGAAAACTGGGCGATCCCATCCAGAAATCCACTGAAACACACCCAAATCCACAAAGGTAGGTTCAAAGAGCCAACTTATGTGTAGCTGTGTCCCTCTCGTTGCGGGTCGTGCGGGTCAAAGAGCTGTGACTGGAGCTCTACTGGAGCTTGACTCCCGGAGATCTCAACAAAGAAGATCAACTGAAATCACCGCCATCTGTTGATCAAACATTTCGACCTGTTCTTGTTTCGTGGGCAAAGTGTTTCTTTTCCCCCTATAAACAGGGTGAACATCCGTTCTCCACTCAGGTAGGTCGACCCAGCGAGGCCGACCCGATCAAGCCGCGCAGGCCACGAGCGATCCGATCAAGAGGACTGCACCTCGGTCACGCAGGCCACATAGAAGCGGGCATGCACTTCGGAGCCTGCGCGGGAAGCGCGGGAAGTGGTGGTGGACCTGTAGATGTTTAGTTGAGGGTGGCATTCTTGAAATCAGCTTGTGAGGAGCTGGGTTGAACAATCAGCTTGTGAGGAGCTGGGTTGAAAGATATATTGACCAATTGCTTGGCATTAGTATGGAAGAGTATGCAACATCATCTGTTATAGTACGTAATGAAGCATGTTCATGCAAGTCGGACACTGGACATGCTATGACACAGCACTTCCATCCAGCACTCTGCAGGGCTCGCGACGCCGCGCCGCTCCGGGTCGAACGGCGAGGGGTGAACGGTCGGCTTGGGTCTGGGTCGTCCGAAGGGGTGGACAAAAACGCCGGGCTGCATGGGTGAATTCTCAGGGATCTGCGGGCAAAGTAGACTAAGTAGAACAAATAGAATCGACTGGGTCCTGGAGGTCTCGCGTCCCCGATGTGAGGCTCGCGCCGTAGAGCTTCAGCCGCTCGTAGGTGGTGAAGAGCTCTCCGCCCAGAGCTGCCTGCGGCAGATGGGATTGATTGTTAGGACAAGAAACCAGGCATAGTGGCATAGTATTGACATAGCTGGGATGCCAAACATGAAGAGAACATGAGAAACAAATCATAGCTGCGCTGGAAAGTTTGTGTGATACAAAAATGAAGAAAGCAGCAAGCTCAAGGTCTAGCTGCATGCTAATTTGAGATCTCTGATGTCCCTCCCAGCACATGAAAAACAGCACACTGGGTTCTCCGATCGTAGTCTGTCGGACAGACCCCTGTGCCTCCAGCAAGAAGTACACATGCTGTCTGCCGTTGTACGTGGCCAGCAAGCGGACGACCTGTTGCGGACGACCTCCTCTCCAACCAGTCTCAGCCTCAACCCACCTTTCCGTCCGAATGGACTGGGCACCAGCCTCTTCGTCTTCCTTTAGAAGGCAATTTGTAACTTCAAACAACAGTTCAAATCGAACCATCCACCGTAGCATATCCTGGAAAAGATTCAGCAACGGTGGGGTTGAGTATTATTCTTGGATGGATCTATATATATATATTGCAGAATTCGAGTACAGATCGTCAATTGTCAAATTCAAGTACAGATTTGGAAAGATAAATGTATTGTAGCATATTGTAACTATTTGTAGCTCCTCCGCAATCCCATGACACTGGTACCTGAGAATACAGGTGTGATGGAACTCACTACTTCTTATCTTCAGTGCCTCTGCATGTGATTTGACCACCTCCATCAGACTTCAAATTAGGATGGTTTTCTGGTTCTTCCAAGAGGACCCCAACGCTTATACCTGGCGCTTCCAATGGGTGTCCAATGGTGATCTATATTCAGTGAAGGGTTGTACATTGGGTATCCCCTTGGAAGCAGCTAGTATGTAAATCAGACGGAACTGCTCACCACACGTCCCCAATGCGTTTGGGTGGAATGTTTCATGGAATTTGATACTTCCATAGGACGGGAAGGGTGCGGCCTTGTTAGGGATCACTTATGATCGGATCCAAGAAGCCGGTCAGCTTCCAGCAAGCACGTTCGACTCGACCTTTTTCGGCTCCTTTTTGAGGAGAGATAGATTGAACATGCATTGACATGTAGAAGTGCGGATGGACCGATGGACCTAAGGCACCGAACGAGAAAACTTTGTTGGAACCGGACATTGCCAACGTGTGGGCAAGTTTCCCGAAGCAGCCATGCTGGCACCCAATCCTGTGGATTGAATCGATGTCCCATACTTGGGATGGGACGATGATTGTTCTTGGAGGAGGTCTTATTAGTTATTCCTGTACTATCTATACTCGTGTGAGTGACGGGTCAAAATTTGTTGTGCGAGTTGCAGGTCATCAGGATTTGCTGAGTGTATTATCGTTTCTTTACAACCGTCACGTTATCGTTTTTTGGTGAGTGTGTTATCTTTCTTTTTGAGCAACACATGCTTGTTGAACTCCCATGACCACTCACTGACAAGCCGTCATAGCTCTTTCTTCGTCTTCAGCTCCAGGACCCAAACGAAGATTTCTGCTTTAAGATGAGAATCAAATATAGTTATCAAACATAGGTATTACAGTAGGCACCCCATGGCACCTTTCACCTCTAGGGGTCTAGGGCTTTTCTCGGCTTTCCCCCCCCAAACCTTACACCTGTCGCCTTCGCCCGGCTCCACTCCTCCGGCCCATGGGGCCGACGGTAGACCATCGCACAGCATCCGAGCGGTTGGGGGTCCCGCACAAAGGGCGTGTCCAACATCTTCAAGATGCGCTTCTCATTGAGCACAGAGTATCTGGTGCTTCGATTTTGCTGGCGTGGTTCCGATTTTGGCGGTGGTCTTTCAGGAGCAAGACTTCTTTGAATTGTAAGGGGTGCAAAAGGTCAAGGAGATGTTTGTTTCTAACATAGATGTGGTGGTGCCAAAACTACTTGTTCGTGGTGTTTGCATGCACAACTCAGGACGTCCCCTATAGGCCCTATCGTTTCTCAGGGTTTTGGTCTTTCCATAATATCTGACTCGATATCTCCAAATCCACGAAAGAGCGCAAGGTTGTGAAAGACGGCCTTGTTTCGAAAGGCGGGTCAAACATCTAATAGGTAGCTTCAAAACCAGGTTCTGTGGCTGTCAAAGGGGAAAACGCATAGTTATATATATATATATACTCCGGAGATGAAAATGGTCCGGGTGGAGTCTAGAGTTGACTGGTTCTCCCCTGGTGTGTCATTCTGTTTCCGATCAATCTTTGTTGTCCCTGATATGTTACACCTAGGAAGACTAACATGGAACCTGAAAATGGACCTTTGGAAGACTATTTTCCTCTACAACCCATTGGTTTTCAGGTTCCATGTGGGTCTCTTCCAGGGTGTAGCAGGTCAATCATGGGCCCACTAGATCAACAAACATGGGCTCCGGCGATCGACCTTGTTGGCTGCCGGCTCAACCCCTTGAAGAGCTGACGCCCACATCGCACGGTGCAGCAACCTTGCTGCGTGACTTCGTGCCTCGCAAATCCCCAGGAAGTGCACATCCCAGATCGGGCAAGCCGAACACACGGACACACACACACACACAAACACATCCCTGGGTGCCCCTGACTCCATCCTCAAGTGCGCCAAATATCCTTTGGACACCGCCTTCAGGGCCTCGAAAGGTGACGGTACGGACGGAGCGTTCTCGAAGCTTGCGCGCTGCGAAGACGAACAAAAGCTGCCTGGAGCTACCTGGCTCCCTGCCTCGGTGGCCTGTTTCTCTTCAACACCACCTGACCAGGAGTCACAAAGGGGTGGTGTTTAGTCCCTAAGTGAGTGGATAATGGGGACCCCTATCCTCCAATAGGCACCCTTTATGACTCCTGGGACACACGATATTTTGAATATTTTTTGGAGGAAAAAGTCGCCGAACATCTCAATCTGACCTCTGAAAAGAAGTGCCACACGCATCCACACGCCACACGCTTCTTAACTCGAGAGGGTGAACAAAAAGTGTCGCGAGGTCTTCGAAGCCAAATCCGATCAATCGGATCTCCAGACACCCCCGATCCTGTCCTGTTCGGATGACCTGCATCCCACACCAGCTCCGGTCCCGAGGCGGCCCCACTACCGGGATTGGAAGATCATTTTTGGACCCTTGATTCATCAAACCACGCCATTTGGATTGTAAAACCAGCGGACGGTCCTCAACGACGCGCGCCCACGCCCTCCCTTCCCAGATGCTCTGAGGGGTAAAACCACTTCAAATACCTTCAGTTGGGGGGCTGGCTTTGTTAATCAAGAGTCTAGATGGATGCCCCCCCCCCCGTTGGACTCCTTCGGAACTATCCCCCAAACTGATCGGTACAATGTCACAATCTGCCAGTCACCGACACGTCCTGTCTCCAGGTGTCAGGCGTAGGTACGGCCATTGCGCAAATCGGCCTGGCGTCCGCGTGGTGGCGGACTTGGCATCTGCCAGGACATGCGGGCTTGGGCGGTCCCAAGAAAGGCTCCAAAGTTTTATAAAGGACATCTCAACCAATGGGCCAATGGGGCTTCTTTGGGTCTGTGAATACCACTTTTAAAGAGGTGTGTAGCCTCTCATTCAGGGCGAATTCTTCACCGGCCAACTGTTTCGTGTTTCGACTCTCGACCCATCACCTTCCTCTGGACGCAAGCAAGAGATCAAGAAGATGACTCCCATGACTCGGACGGTTGCGGCACTTCATGTGCGACAAAGGCATCAAGAACTGTCGATGATCTCTGGGTCGCCCTTGGACCACAACACCGCAAGGTCTTCGAAAAACTGGTCCCTCTACAGATCTATGATCTATCTCTCATTCATGTGCGTCCCTTACAACCCCCCTCACCTCCCCTTTGGACCGCGCTGCCTGAAGCCACGACCTCACAACTTGCCACGACCCGCCACTCCTCTCCCACAACCCCCGCCTCTAGGGTGACCAAGCCAAATGCACCGACGCCCAAGCGTCCAACGCGCTGCAAGTCGTTCTTGCGGATCCGCGCGACGCCTGCAGACGACGCGCTCGAAGCGGACGCGGAACGAAGACACCGGAGAGAAGGAGAGGAAGATGGGAGACGAGGTCGCCCATATAGACTCTATATAGATATCGAACAGGAACCCTCAAAATTGATATATAGGTCTTTGAGGTGATCAGGAAGAGGGATGTCCTTTACTTCAGTCAGTCAAAATATCGTCGAACTGGACTTCTAGGGTATTTATATTAGATCCCCACCGTTAGACTGTGTCCGTGTCGGCGTTGTCGAAACTCTTTGGGGACCTCTCTAGATCGATCGATGCTCAATCAGTTCCTCCAAAAGGTTCTCCGAAGGACCATGAGGCCACGTTGAAAACCCCAAAGGCCGGGGAAGTCCTGAGGGACCATGAGCTTGCAGCGTTCCGAAGGACCATGACGAGTCCTGAGGGACCATGAAAGGTCCGAAGGACCATGACGAATGGTGGCCCGCTTCTTCTGGTTGAACCCAGCCACTCCCGAAGAAAGAGGTCCTGTTTTTTTATCCCATGTCCCGTATTTGCACTTGCCTAGGTCATGGGATCTATTGAAAAATGTCGTTTTTCTCCATCCATCTCCATCCTTGAGATTAATGGCCTATGGATCATAGGATCCCATGACCTAAGCACCCCATGACCTAAGCACGAGGATCCATCCTGGGTCGTGGGATCCATCCTAGGTCTGGTCTTGATCAATGGATCAAAAGGACCAGGATGGACCAGAAGTGCTTCCCCCTCGCGGAGACCCGCCACCAAATCCGGCCTGCTTGGCCCGGCCTCGGGTGGCCAAACATGTCTGGGATGGTGAGCGCGGTATCGAGCCATTGGAAGTCCCCAAACACGACCGCTGGAACTTGACACCTACACCAGGGCCCCCTTGCTCTTCGGGGTGTCCAATAACAGCTCCTTGGAGCTTCAGAGGTGTTCATGAACCACCCCAAAACCGGAGGGCCCTGGCCTTGGCCCCCTTTTCAATCCACCCGAACTGCACATGGGTGTGTCTTTTGCTGGAACGCCGCGGACTTCTGCGCGCAGAAGCTCAGCTCTCGGCTGAGCGATCGCCACGTTCACCGCGGGGGCACCTGAGACAGTCACGGCGAGTCGAACGACACAGAAGGGGTGAACCGGACGTCTTGGAACCGGCTCATCTGCCCTTATGGTGTGTGTGTCTTTCTGTACGCCGCCTGGGATTTTCTGATCTTTTGGGGAATGAACCGCACTTTTCGTGGCTTCACAGGCTTCACAGATTCAATATCTTCATCTTTGCCTGCAGCGGGCTTCTACGAACTGAGCCAAGGAGTCTTGATGTCAGTGCGTAGCACGATTATGCTCTATGTTCCAATCAAAACCATCTACTCAATGTTAACAAAGTCACGCCTAGCGTGATGGGTTGATTTGGATCGCAATAGTCCTTTGAAGGTTGTGCCAGTGGTAACTGTCTACAACTACTCTGAACACATTGAGGATGACATGACTTGCTCAACTGGTAACATATAGGCTCCAGGTACCCTGAAAACATCTCCACTAAATCTCGTGGGGTGTAACGTACCAGCACCTAGTTTTGGTGGGTGTTTTGGATGGATACTACATGGCACGTGGATGGATTTGGGAGGTTCATCTTGTTAAAGCCACCCGAGCTCGGTGGGTGTCACGTCATACATGCTTGGAACGAACCGGGCGTCCGCTCCCGGCGCTCCCCCTAAATCCAGTCTGTCGCGGCCTGGCGTCGAGGCCTTGCTGCGGCTGTGCCTTGGATGAGCCAAACACGACCTGTCTGGTTGGTGGTCCAAAAACAGAGGTCATTCAGGTTGGTATGTACTTTACTGTATGTGTATATATATATACACACACAATAAATTGCGTGTCTGGGTTATTTCAGCTCGATCAGGGTAAACGGAACCATGTGTCCTCAGTTCACTGATTATTAACTAAGGATACTATTAAGAATTATTAAGAGATCCATCATGGAATATGTAATCAAATACAAGTACTTAATGTATATATTGATACATATTGTACATAATAGATGCAATATATATATAATAGATGTGATATGTATGTATATATATATATATGTCCAGTTCATTACTACTCAAGATTCCAGGACAATCCATGCCCACCCGCTCAAACTCGGCCGCCCGGACATGTCGCAAAAGGATTCAGGCGCCTGGACAAGCGTGCAAGGCATGAAAATCGAACAGTTCGCCTAAAAGAATAGAATATGTTTCACCCAGGCGCTCATGGACCCTTCTACGGTATATGTTGCCCCGGGAAATTCCTTTTCAGGCAACCGAAAGCCAATGTTTAAATGGTCCTTGGACTTCCAGGGAATATGGTTTAATGGAATTAGATTTGAAAATATAATATATATATATATATATTTGTAGATTCAAAAGGTGTCAGTTTCATTCAGTTTCCATCTGTCCAACCAAATAGATGTGCCAATCGCCCGAATCAGCTGATCTCTCCCACTGTCCTCAGTGAGTTTGTTGAGAGGGCATGTACGCCCTGGAAGAGACCCACAGGGGACCTGAAAACGACTGGTTTGTGGAGGAAACTAGCCTTCTTAAATGTCTATGTTCATGTTCCACCTGGGTCTCTTCCAGGGTGTAGATGAACCGCGCAGCAGGTTCGCATCAAAGTCTTTCAGATTCTTTAAGTGATGAAGGCTAGGTCAAGCTGCAGAGTTTAACTCCAGGGACAAAGTCTGATACTGATACTCTCGAACAGACTGGCAAAACAGGCATCTCTTCAGGACCATTTGGGGCTTTGTCTACCTACATTCCCCATCCATCTTCTCCCTTCAACCTCCCTCCCATCCATCTTCTCTCTTTCGCTCGCGTTCGCTCCACACGAAGCCACGCCTTGGGCGTCGCCCCTCCCGAGATCGGAGGCGACCAACTCTTCGAGTGGTTGATGCTCGCACAGGACCTGGGGCACAGGACTGCGGACCCGGGTCGCCACCATCGGCCGACTGGGCCGCAGGAAGATTGGGCACACCCAAACCGCGAGACTCTCCGATGATCCCGGATGTTGGGGGTCGATGCCCCGTCAAGGTCTACTGGGTTGATGTGTTTTTGGTCCGGTTCACCGCGTTCCATGTAACGTATGCGTTATGGAAAGATATGGAAAGGCGGTTCTGGGACCGCGCGCGGGCTGAGCATTGTGAGGATGCATCCAAGATCCATTATCCTCCATCATCCTCAATCTGACGTCGGGGCTTATCCCCCTCACCAAAGATACCTTCTGCAGCCACCGCCCTCATTCCTTGATTGAGACCCCTCCCGACTTCAGGGGCCAGACGCCGGACCATCGCCCTGAAGGCGGCGCCCGTCTCACCGGGAGGAGCTTTCCGAAAGGGCCCCACATGGAGAGTGACGAGTCATGACGTGACGAGCGCCGTCGGGCTTGGGGTAACTTTGAAGGGCCTCCGTGTGGAGCATGGGGAAGAACTGGATACCCTCCTGAGCAACATGCCGTACTCGATGTGTTCAATCATTTTGTTCGGGGTGCTCTGACTCAGACAAACCTCGATGTTTGATGCTTGCCAAGACACACAGTAGTCGCAGAGGTGGCGGAAGTGCTACAGGTGGAAGGCGGCTTTGTCGGAATGGCCTGCGGCCGCTGAGAGACATCCTTGTTTGCACTCCGAATCAATCACAATGGCATCCTGGAAAGGCTCTTCTGGTGCTGATGCAAATTGCGGTGCAGAACTTTGCAATGCGCGAAATGCTCCAAACAGGGAGTGCTTCCTTCACCAAGTGATTAAGTTCAATTCCCTTCTGAAGAACCAGCTGGTTGAATCGCATCTTTGGGTGCATATTTTCACAGGGAAATCCCCGAAATCTCGCCCCTGGCTGAGTCTATTCTCCTTCGAACCCAAGGGGTCGTTGCCTGGGAGGTCTCCTGATTTTCACATGCACCTTGAGGTGAGCCCTTTACTATTGGTTGGTTGATGAATGCAGGGAATACCCCCAGGTGAACTTGCCAATGGATTTACCAAATCGACCCCTCTACTATTCCCACGACAGATCACTGGATCGCTCCGTCATGGCACCGCTGCGATAGTTCTTCGCACCTTGTTCTTGGCCACGGTCGGCGTGATCCGACGGCCTCCGGCATCTTCAGTGACTGAAACCAGTTCCACCACGCAAACATGGGTCACACACACACACCAGGTTTTGGGGTGCTTATAAGATGTTATAACTACGGCTATGTACCATAACGTCGTTCTTGGGGAAAATACGAACCTGCCAACCTGGAAGGGGATAGGGTCTGCCAACCGAGGAACCACTACATACAAAGAGCTGGAAGGGTATGTTCAATGTCTGAGAGTTATGTTGATTGGATCCCGGAAAGGTGGCTCGGCACCAGAAATAATCCCTGAGTTGCAATTGTTAAATCTACATGACATGCTTATATCTCTACCTGCAGCAAAGCTGAACTTGTTGGTCAACTGACTAGGCTATCTCTAGTTGTAAGTGTAGCACGCACCTTTAACTAGCAAAGGGTTGGGGAACTCCCTGTAGCTCCAAACGACTCCCTCTCTAATGGGGAATATATATATATAGGTACTACCAGTTCCTTAGCTCCCTTCTGAGCTGGCCAGCGTTAAGGACTGGGTCCAGGGTGGATCACTGGGACTCTGCACGTGGATCGCTCGTGGGATGGTCGACCTCTTGACATGGCGGTCACCTCGTCCCCCCTGCCTGCCTCCCTCACCCTCGCATCCGGCCTGAATCACTTCCACGCGGCACCGGCCGATTGGGCGGCCTTGGGGAATTGGGCACCGCCTGACGGAGTCGAAAGATCGACGCGTTGGAAAGGTCTCTGTTCTTCACATGGGGGAGGGGGGGAAAATGAGGGAAAGGCAAAGTCATTTGTATAGGGGCATCCCAGAATTCAATGGAATTCAGGGGGTTTTAGGTGGGGGGGTAGCGATTTTGATAGTCGTGCTCAAATGCTGGGCTTAGAGGGCTATAAGTATCATGATTGTTCATGATATTAATTTCCACATGAAGCACGCTCAGCGCGGTTCTTAGGACTGGTCGAGGCCAGGGGTTTGTCCTACACCAGTGCTGACTTGAAGATGTCAAACGGACAATGGGAAGATGATGTTCTAACCATGTTCTTACCATCTTACCATGTAAAAAACAGTAAAACTTCCCACCATACCTCATGGTGCCCCACGAATCGGCCGCCCGATTCGTCGCCCGATGCGTCGCCTCGCGCACCTCACGGGACGGCTCCTGTGAACAGGCGCAAGGGCGGAAGACGAGCGCGTCTGCGGCTGAGACCTGATGCATCGACCTGGAGCCTCCATTCGATCGGTGTTTTCCATGTGTTTTCTGTTCGGTGCCCGGTCTAAAAGGCCACGTGTTCGTCGAAACCACCGGTCTTGGGAGGTCCTGGTACTGGGAAAACACCATCCACCTGTATGGATTACACACACACGTTGACTTGACTTTCATTCCTGCCTGGAGGGGTGGTCAGACCCTCATCTAGGTCCTGCCAAGTTCTAGTCACTTGAGGTTACTTCTATCCCAGCAGAGGTTGAAGAACCCTAGTTCGACTATCCTAAAGGTACCCCTGGTGACGGGTCCTATTTACGGTCACTGGCTACCTCTGTAGGTCCTTTGCAGTCTCCAGAATCTATCTCGTGGACGCTTGTGATGTTTGGAACATGATCAAACTATGGGTAAAACTCAAAGGCAGTTCTAGCTGGAGACCAGTCCATTCCATGTCCTGAACTAAAAAGATATGGTATTGGTACATTGGTTCATGAAGTCATAGTAAACTGTCATACAGTCATACAGAACTGTTGCTCAATCAGCAACCAGCTACTAGTCTCAGGCTGCTTCCCACACGGACCGGGATCAAAAGAGACCACGTACAAAGAAGCTTGCATTTCTTCAATGGCACCCAGCTATATGTTGCGGCAAAGAAGGCTGCCATGAGACCCCAGGATGACAATCTGGGAGGGCACAACAAAGTCCTGACATTCTCTCCCGTCACATCTCTCTCTCTCTCTCTCTGTCTCCCTCCCTCCCTCTCCCTTCCCTCTCCCTCCCTCCCTCTCACTCCCTCCCTCCCTCCTTCTCCCTCCCTCCCTCACTCCCCTCGCTCCCTCCCTCCCTCACTCGCTCTCTCGCTCCCTCTCCCTCCCTCCCTCCCTCCCTCCCTCTCTGTTTTGTTGTGTTTCTTTTCACGTCCAACCATCTGAGGTTCTTGGAGCAATGGCTTTCCACTGGTGCCGCCGGCTTTGCCACGACGACTTGTTGGTGAATGCTTGGTCGACCAATCTCTGTCTCCCAAAACCAGCTGTAGCATTTCAGAGGTTGGGCCGTGGAAAAATACCTTCCTAACATGGTCCCCTCACACAAACAACTGCAGGGTAGGTCCCTCTGTCTCCTTCCTGGGGTTTCCCAAACGCGATTTTTCAGTGCCAAGCATGTGAAACAACCCTGGCGCTCCATGGGACTGGCATATGTCCCCCTTTCTGGGTCACTGCAACCCCCAAGGGTTCCTCCCTTGCTGGCAACCCGGAGCTTCCCCTTCTCGCCTGTGGAGGTGGAAACTTGGGCATGGGCGGAAGTGGCTGCACCTGTGGTGACTGACTGCACCGTTCCAAGGCGAAGCTGCGATGCTGAACAGTTTCTACACCCAACTTCGCCATCATTTACGACCCAACCCAGAAAGTTTGTAGGATTCTGTGGCTCCAGGTGACTGGTCAGACTTGGCATTCCTCCTTGGACCACCCACTCCTTCAGGTGCCCATCCATCAAGACCACCGGACATGGCCGAGGGGTCAGCTTTCCCCCGTTTGGAGCAAAAAAAAAGATCCCATCTGCGGGGACCATCTGAGCTATGGTCCAAACTCAGTATGTTTGGTATGGTCATCCCATCCCTTATAATGGTCATTCGCAATCCCCATTATCCAATGGATGACCATCCCCTAGTAATGGTTGATAATCCCTAGTTTTGACATGGCTCATCTGGGACCTACCTAGGTTGACAGTCTTCCAGGTTGCTGGGTCCTCCAAAGGTATGGTTGTACATAGACCTTTGGGTCTCTTCCATAGGAAATATACCGTACGGAAATATCAAGCAGGCCAATAACGTATACCAAACTGGAGGTCTGAACACATCGAATTGTTTTGTTTCCATGCTATCTGACGTTTATCTCAGGGGTATCATTCACTTGCAAAAAAGGCCTGGCATGCAGTGCATGCAGCATGCAACACACTGAAAGAACCACAAACATGGCATGGATCATGACCAGCGATTCAGCAGCCAACTTGCAAAATTGTTTGTGTGTTTCTCTCCACATTCAAGATGAGCGTATAAATTTGAAGGGCATACAGTATTTGTCCAAGGCTTCCAGCACCTTCTACTTGCTGTCACCAGACTTTTTGATACTAAGCATTCCTACTAGTTTATACATGTTTATACCATGACTTCCCGGTTTCCAGCATCATCAGTTGCTGCTGCAAGGACCAACAGCTCAAACACCTCCCCACTTCCCAGCCACTGGTCCTTCCTTAACCCCCCCGCGCACCCAACGACGCTTGTTCCGGAAGTCCGGCGCCACGCCCTGCGAATTCGGCGCCAGAGCGGTGCAGCAGAGACCCAGAGGCACCACCCAGCTTGGGTGTGAGGTCCTCTTAGGTGTTGAGGGTGCTGACGAATTCTGGCCTTACAAAACCAAAAAACACTTCTGGCCCCATGTGCTGACGATTACCAAGAACCAATCTGACAGGGTGGTGCTAGAGTAGCGCAGTTATCATGTTTGTCGGAAGATGTCTTGCCAATCCCAATGTTGGGGCTATGGTTCATGTGAGTGTGTATTTAATTAGAGAACTTAGAGAACCACCAACCACTGGGTAGACTGTTTTATTCCCCAAACAGTGTGGTCACACTAGGGCTTCTTACGGTAATAGAAAAGCAGGTGTGCTTAGATCGCTGTGCGTCGCGCGACTGCGCAGGCTCGCGAAATCTGCCTGCCGGCGGCGGGTGCTTCTAGCGACTGCGCTCTCGTTGTGGTGCCGTGCGCATTTTGGTATCTGGTGGTCACTTTTCGTGGCAGGTGCAAGGGAAACCTCGTGTTTTTGGTGCTCCAAAGTCGACTTTTTGACTTCGAAATGCAGTTTTCGTGGCAGGTGCAGCACTTTGGACATGGTGGTGATCGTCGAAGAGCTCTGATTTCGTGACAGGTGCAGTGAATCGTGACTTTTGGATATGTGTCTCGTTTGCAGATTTCGTGGCGGGTACAGCACTCTGTGACCCTCGATGTGCAGATTTCGTGGCAGGTGCAGCACTTTGTGAACCTCGAAGTGCAGATTTCGTGACAGGTACAGCACTTTGTGAACCTCGAAGTGCAGATTTCGTGGCAGGCGTAGCACTTAGTGAACCTCGAAGTGCAGATTTCGTGGCAGGCGCAGTACTTTGTGCTCTCAGATGCTCACTCTCTCACTCTCCACACTCCTCACACTCACGCTCATTCACTCACTCTCACTCTCACTCTCACTCCTACTATCACTCTCACTCTCACTCTCACTCTCACTCTCACTCTCACTCTCACTCCCACTCCCACTCTCACTCTCACTCTCACTCTCACTCTCACACTCACTCACTCTCCCACACTCACTCTCAGTCTCGCCCACACTCACTCACCCACCTTCAGTCTCACTCATACTCACACTCACTCTCACTCACACTCACTCTCACTCACACTCACTCACACTCGCACACTCACTCTCCCACTCTCACTCGCACACACTCTCACTCTCACCCACACTGACACCCACCTTCACTCTCACTCACGCTCACTCATGCTCACTCTCACTCACACTCACAATCGCACTCACACTCACACTCACTCTCACTCACACACACTCTCACTCTCACCCACACTCACTCACACCCACCTTCACTCTCACTCACGCTCACTTACACTCACACCTACACTCACTCTCACTCACACTCGCACTCACACTCACTCTTCCACTCTCACTCACACTCACACTCCCTCTCACCCACACTCACTCACACCGATCTTCACTTCATCACCACCATCACCTCTGGACCCCAATGCGTCTAGATCTCTAGACTTTCTGCATAATTTTCCTTATTCCAGCGGGTCGAACAAAATGAGGTCCAAGTACCTTTCATGGAACTCCATCTTTTGCCCCAGCTAGTGAAGCATTCACCACCCGCCGGGATATTTCTCCACCAAAGCCTGGGCCTTGTGCATGTCAAGAGAAGTGGTGTTTCTCATGGCTTTCTCGGCATATTTGTCATCATATGTCAACCCTGGCCAGGGGTGGCCACCCCGTTGCTTTGTTGCAATGTCCGCCATCTCGGCCGAAGGAATTGCTTCTTTTCAGTTAGCCACGTTGATGATACACTCGTTACTCCACTCGTTTTACACCCTGGAAGACTGACATTGACCCTGAAAACCACTGGTTGGTAGAGGAACACGCTCTTCAAGGGGGCCAGACGGTCAGGGTCTATGGTAGTTTTTCGGGAGTGTCTCCCTGACACATCCATGAACACTGGCATCTTGACCGATCAGTTGAGGTTCGTCGAAAAACGGACGTCCGTCGGTCATCGGTTGCTTGGTTCGTGAAGAAAGACGTGAAGGATGGGAAACCTCTACAGTCATGTGGGGTTGAAATATCCTCTAACAGTCTTACATTGCATCTTGCAAGTCGCATGCAGTGGTAGTAGACTCTTCATTCTGTCATATGCCTTTTCCCATCTCCCGGACCGGGGGAGTCTACCCACCCGCGCCAGTCCCATACCCGGGAGGACTCCGTGGGCGAGTTCCAACCGAGTCCACTGGAACGCTTCCGGCGAGTTCGCGACGTTCGCGACCGCCGCTCCTTCGGCTTGGGAGGCAAATGCTGCTGCAGCACCACGCGCGCAGGCTTCTGCCACGAAAAGTCCTGAACGCCACGTGCGCGGAGCGGGAAAGGAGCGGGAAAGAGAGGAGGATCTTGCCTGGCAAGGTGGCTGGACATATTATACCAGGATTCTCCAAGGGGTATCTATTAATAATAGCAGTTGAGGGGTGTCAAAAAAAAACCTCTGTTGGAAGGTTCAGGTATAGATTTAACTATATGTTTGGGATTGTTTGGGTATATCACAGTGGGATGATGACGGGGCGCACGCCGACATCTCGAAAATAGTGATGTGTTCTCTTCCCGACTGTTGCAGGCAATGGGACAGACCCAATACATTAGTATATCATGGGGAATGTTTGATTCCAGAGTCTATGAGGTATGTTTGTGGATTCAGGATGTAGCTCAGGTGTTGCGGAACAACGGATCCAATCGCACTGCGCATTGATACAACATTGAAAATTACCGTGCATGCTTGGCTGATACCTGGATCTTAAAACAGCATAACATTTTGCCGGATACATTTTTCAGTGCAAAGACGCCGCAATCAAAAACAAAGTTTTAGGGATGCAAACATGTGCTCAAAATGGGGAAACAACGCTGTTTGGAAGCCCACACACGCCGTTTCCTTCTTGGTTTCTGCCGGTTTCTGGTCACCCAAAAAGCCGGCGGCTTTGGAATGAGAAAAGACGGCCGCCGTTCGTCCGCCTGGTCCTGAAAAGACCATGATTCGTTCATCCTGATCCAGGTATCCCATCTCCCTGAGGTCCGAAAAAACATAGGCTTCTAAGCCTTACTTCCCACATGTGTGTCGCTCTAGCACGCGCGTGCATGTATGTGTGTCCGCAGACATTGACATACAGCTTGAAGCTTGGGCTCTGGTCGAGATGTCTAGCTTTAATCTTAGCTTTGTCTTCCTGTCCTGGGAAAAAGTAAGGAGAACCATGTGTTTCAATGGGGTTTGGGACACGACCCGGCTGCTTTTGTCTGACATCCCTCCGCCATCAAAACAGTGAAAGGGGGGGAACATTCCATGTTCACGTCCGTACAGTTGAACAGCTGCAGATCACTCAGTGGGCTCTAAGCTGAACTGGCAAAATCACCCACAAAAAAGAACACACAAACTAACAAAGAATCAGATGCATCCAAAAATCATCAAACGTTTATGGATATATAACTATGGAAAAATGGTGCCCATTCTTTGACACACTACAGTGAGGCCACAAAAACCGGCCGCTTCGTCCGGTCGGGATGTTTCTTTCGCCACCAGGCCGGAACCAGGTCCATCCTCCGCTTCACCCGTGGTCTCAAAAGAGATAGAATCATGTTTCATCAATTGTCCAAACACATGGCTGTAGAAGAGATCAGATTTACTTCACTTGTCTCAAATCCAACACTTTTCCAGCAAATCCTGCCGGGCCATCACCATGTTTTGTTTGGTCCTTCTGATCATTTTCTCCAAATGCACCACCACGTCGACACGTCGTCGACGCACGGAGCCGTGCTGAGTTCGATCTCCTTAAGTCGACGGTTCGACTTCAAGTCATCGCAGGAGCCATTCTTGCCTGGCGCACGGTGCACCGGAGTTGCTCGGATGTCTTGCCCTGGAAGAGGTGCCAATTGTAGGTATAGTATGGTAACTAGTATGGTATAGTATGGGTCAGTTGAGAGTGAACGATGAACCTACTGAACATCTATTCTGGTCATATACCACCACCACAGTAGTCTAACAGAAGTATGTGGTCAACATATATATATAGCCTGAAAATGTCCAAATTCCTTAGATGGTCCCATTGCCGGGTTGTTTCGTGTGCATTCCACGCGCAATCAAATGGACCATGCCAATTCCATTTTCACTGACGAGAACCAAAGAGAACGCATCCCGATGGTTGCAGATCTATGCAGGAGGAGGATTCTGTGCTCTCGGATCAGTGCACAGAGCTTGTTGGTTGCAATGAGAACTCATCTAGGCTGAGAATGGCGGTGGCCGCACCTCATGCAACTGATTAACAGGCCAAAAGGATCAGTCTGGAACATCCACAGGGAGAAACAACAGCAACAACAACGACAACGACGGGAAAAAACAACTTCCTGATACACACGGGATTCCTTGACTTGAACACCTCTACCCTGAACATCAGAAAATAATACAATCAAAGCACGCTTAGACCAAGAACACACACAAGTGTTCCAAACAAAGCTCCCATTGACTCGGTCGTCTTGGTCGCACTTTGGGACCGTCCACTCCGATCGGTGGTTGTTCAGGTCGCCTTCGAAGGGTTGACCAAGATCCGACCCTAAGAATGTCATAAGAGCTGAACTACTTCGCTGGGTCTTCTTGAACGGGGGGGGAGGGGCGTTAACTTTGCCGCACATGGCGACCCCCTTCATCGTGACCTGCACGGGGCGGCACCGGCACCGGAGGTCCGCCTTGGTACATCACCTTTTGCTGCTTCACAGGGATGCCATACCTGGGCGAGAGAACCGGTGACGGAGTGGAAGGCACCGAAGACGAGGCGAGAGTGGCGGTGGACGCGCTGTCACCGGAGTCCGGTCAGTGAGCAGATGCGCGGGGACCTAGCCGGACCTTGCAGTTCAATGATGCTGAAGCAGGCTGCCTCAGCATCGCCGGATCAATGTAAACTAGTGGTAGAAAGAGCAAAACCAAGAAATGGGTCAAGCTTTATCTGACAGCAAGCCAAATACTCAAGGCGCTGATCTTTTCTCTTAATTACTCATCTTACTCACTCATCCGCCAGCCACAGCCTGCATGAGCTGCGACTTCCAACCCGGACTGCGGCCCTGGTCTTTTTACTTAGGTTCCAGTTGCTGAATTGGACATGGAAAGTGGACCCAGATTGATTAGATCCAATCCTTCTTCAACAATGATTGCCACTATATGACAACAAAGTATCTTCTGCCGGTTCCAGAACATATTTTTATATATGTTTAAAAAGGCGGATCTGTCCCGACACGCTCTGTTTCTAAACAATCCAGCTCAGTCTGCTCCTTCTGCACTTGCAAAACAATTCCCCAAAATACGGTCTGCAGGTTCATAATGACTTGTCAGGAGGAAGTCTTGCAAGATCTTGCAAGGAAAGAACATCACTTGCTTCCCAAGCCGCTGTTGCTCTAGCCTCCACTTGAGGGTTTCTACCAGCTCGTTCTCCTGAACCTCGGTTTGAGATGCCGGGTGCCCCGCTCCACTCATGTTCAAACTGTACCTGGACCTGCCGTTCAGGGAGTCCAACGATACACAGAAACATAGTGAGTACATAGTACAGTATATTGTTTCCCCTCTGATCCCAAACAAAGGTGGTACGGCATGATGTCGTGGTCTCCTGCGCGAGTCCAGATGCACATGGTACTAACTAAAGACCGACGGCCATCCTCCATTCGATGTTTTCTCCTAAAACCTCCACATTGAATGAGGTCTGCTTGGTACTTGAGAGAGGAGGGGGTGAACGAAAGGTAGCAGCCAATCACAAGTAACCCTGGTAGAAGTCCATGACGGCGTGAACCGGCGCAGGGGGGATTTGATCCAGGGGGGGGGGGCCCCCGACGAACAGAACCGCACAATCCCAACTCCTGATTGTAATACATTTTTGCTAAAGCAAGGAGAACTCAGATAGCTCAAGCTACCTTTCGTGATTTAAGAGCGCCTCGAGAAGGAGTCCCTGTTTCATAAGACCTTCCGATGTAGATCCAAGTATACCTGAACCATCCTGAACCTGTGACCTCAGAATCGCAGACCAACGAATTCTGGATGCAGGATATGAAGGCGATCTTGTGTAAGTCCAGTGGACAGGTGACCGCAAACTTGTGGACCACCCCTCTAGGAAAACTCAGCAACGGCTGCGGAAAAAGAAGATATGTTTTGTCCTGAAACGATGTGACTTCGAGCCACATGAGCCACTGGTTTGTACGAGAATGGAAGATGTCACCACTACAACAAAATGACACATCTGAGCAAACATATATATACACACACCCCAGTAGATAGAACAGCAGATCCCCACTAAAAATGTATTGGGAACCATATTGCCAAATTATATTTAATAATATAATATATATTTTTTTTTATCTATTTATATAACTGAAAGGAAAATAGACAAACTCATGTTGGATCCTCCAACCTATCGTCGCCATCGAGCCGAAGTGCATCTAACTGCTGCCATCAAAATCCCACACGACGACACCAGTTTCAGGCGCTGTGTGCAGCGTCCAGAGCTTCTCTATGTCTATAAGCTAATCATATCGACCAACCGAAAACCTCTCAAAACGTCCCAGAAACCGTCCAGAAGTCTGTCTCTTTGAACCCGACCCCGCATCCCCAGAAATGTTTGAACACCCCCACTCTTCACGGAAACCGGTCGCCGCCAGACCGCCAACCCTTTTTAAAAACGAACCAAAAAACCAAAACAGCTCTGAATCAGGAAGCCCAAGAGGCAGTCACCAAAGAGCTCTTTTGCCCCAAGGTCAAGACCTGGCTTCGAACCCCCCACCTATTCGTCCTTCATTCCGTTGGGTGCGGAGACAAAGCGTCAAAACGAGGGTCGCTTTTGGGTTGAGGGAGCTCTTCGTCTCGGAGCTCTTCGGACCGACCGACCGACTCCGCAGACCGACTGACCGACCGAAGCTGTTTTGGTTTTCTTTTTCTTCGGGTAGGTGGTCTTTCCCATGAGTCTGTTCTTTCCACTGACTGTATAATGTAGACTCTTGATTAATCACAGGGGGGTTTATTAATCACAGGTCTACATTATATATGTTTCTGGGGAAAAAAATTCCATGTTTTGATTCCCATGCTTTGAAAGACTACCCAAACGCGACCCGTCTGGGACTGCCAGTCCGGACTGCCGAGAAACGGCCAGGGGTGGTTGACTGGGGGGTCAATGGGGCGGCAGTCCTATGGCAGTCCCATGGGTCGTGTCTGGGCTGTATCTGTTCATCAATGTTCATATTTAAGTGTCTGTTTCTCTGACACAGAAGCGCTGGCGGAACGGAACCGCGGAACAGGTGATGTGGAACGTGGAAAACACCGACCACACTCAGGCCACGACTCACCCGACACCCTGGTGAGGTTTTTCCTCTGTTTAAGGCTGAGAATGGCAGCCATGGGTCGAAACTGCGGTGATTGCGGGTGGATCCCTCTGTTTCAAGCAAGCGAAGCCTTGCTACAGCGTTGCCCTGTGGCTTCCTGGATCAATAGGATGGATGGAATTTCTAACACATCAAGAAAGTCAGACCGGTCATGAGCGGTCTTCACCTGGAAGGCTTATCCTCACAACAAGCACACACACACACCGTCAGTATAGCGAGAAGTCGGAGATGCCACATCATCCACTTGCATTCGATCGCGGGGGTACCAAACCCTCAAGCATCGCAAGTTACTTGAAAACCTTCATCCTTTCTCCATGCCATATCTCACCCAGAAGTTCTCAAAACTCCTGAGGCTCTTCATCCGGAATGTTCCGGGTGTTGCAGCCGCGGGGGGGCGACTGGCCGAACTAGGGATCCAAGCAGGTAGGACGACACCTGAACATAGTCGTAACTCTCGCTCAGAAGGCAGAACCGTAACTGGAAGAACTGAAACCATCGTCTTGTGTCTTCCATGTTCCATGTTCGCCCGGAGAAGAATTCATAGATTCTCCACCAACAAACAAGAAAACCACACTTATTTCCTGCGCAAGCTCTCTCCGGGTCCCTCCCGATCCCCCCCCCTTGATCCGTCGCGGCGGCGACGATGCTCCGAGTCGCTGTGATGGAGAATTCTCCCAAGACCTTCATGGTCTCCTCAGTTCCGGTGGCCGGGCCCCCGAGCCAGAGACCGAACCGGTGGGGTGTTCCAAGAGAACCGGAGGTCACAAAGAACTGAATCATCTTTATAAAAAAGGCATGACTATAGTGACGTGTAGAAACTATAGTCTTAGTACAAAGATTTGTAAACCTCTGTCATCCTCTGTCTGTAGGCTGAATGACTCACACTAGAGGTTGAGGACTCTTGAAACCAGGTACATCCAGACAATCCTGGTGCAACCCACCACTCTGATGGATGGTCGGTGGACTCCCGGTGGACGTGTGATGGCTGCTGTCGACATGGGTCAGGTCGGACCAACGGACGCCGACCGCGCCGAGGAGGATTCCGACCGAATGAGGCCGGCCAAAAGAGCCGAACCAGTCGTGTGCACTCTGTGTAAAGCGTTCTGAGATCGATACCCTACAAGTCAAAGACCTCATTGTACTGGGGATTGTCATACAAAACCATACAAAACCAATACTTAAGGAGGTAAAAGACCAGGTTTTACTGGGTCTTTGGACTTGTAGGGATACATTTATATAACCAGCAGTCACTTACGAGGTCGACGGGGTGCTATCCATGGAGGTAGTCGGGGTGCCCAGAACATCCACTCACTTGGAGACTAAACACCACCCCGAGCTCTGTGACTCCTGGTATGTCTGTTCTTTTCATGACCAGCCACGGCCCAAACGCAGGGCCCCTATCACGGCCGCAGGGGTTGGGTCTGTCCGACTGCTTCTTGAAGGACAGCAGCATGCTGTGGTGACCAGCAACCCAGCAGCTCACCACAAATGCCCACTTAACGCCTCGCGGACCTGGTTTTTACCCTTCCCACTGTCACAGCGCCACTGGGAATCCTGGCCACGTGAAAAAGATAAACGTGGAAGTTCAAAACCCGGAGAGCGCTATCTGATAAGGATATGTGGAGACGTCCTAGCGTTTTTGAATTTGTTATCTGCAGTAATCTAGGGATCCGTGTGTTTGAATTGATACATACTGTAGGTCTTGGAGCCTTATCGCATTGCTGGTATCACGTTTTTGCGGACTTCTTGCATTTTGGAGCTCATGAATCACTTGATCTCCGTGCAGCCCCCTCGATGTCTCGGCAGCGGGTTTGCAGCAGGTTGGAGTATCTGAATCTGAATCCCAACTTGAAAAGCTACAAAAAGTCATCGATTTGTTCAAGTCGGAGGTTTTGCTCTTGATCTCTGGACCGTGCCCTTTCAAGGCCCACCATCATTGGAAATGCCACGCCCACCATCATCGCCAACTCCGAGTGGGCCGAGTACGCCATCGTTCCAACCGCCGTTCCAAGCGAAGCCGCGCCGATTACTGTGGTTCCAATCGAAGGAATCGAAGGGAGGCTAGCCTTCAATTGAAGTGATTCAGCCCCAAACACTGCACCTTCTGGAATGAAACCACCCAAATTTGTGGTAAATAGGTCAGTCATGGTCGGTCCGGGAGTCCTAATCTTGGATCAAGTGGTTGAATCTTGCAAATCTTCTGGGGAATCCAAGTCTTTATGGACTAGTGATGCACAACTCAAGCCGCCGTGAAACAAATCAAGGGCGAATCCGCACAACCTCTCGGTCGAAGTACCACCAGGTGACATGGAAATCCACTGTACAAGTCCAGTCCAAGTAGAACTTTCGGCTTTAGTAAAATGAGGTTAGATTGATTTGTGGGGCTCTGTTAGGTTCCCTGGGTCATCGTGACATCTTCAGAATGATGTCAATCATACACCCTGCCAAAAGCTGGACAACCGAACCAAGGGTTGATTGGCAATGCTTCTCCTCAATGCTTGTCACCTGCAACTTTGACCTCCTCTCTGACCTGAAAAGACTTTCAAGATCTCTGGCTGAAAAAGAAACACGCTTCTTTCTGGCCTTTGATGTTCAGAACTCTCTGATTGATTCAGAACTGGGGGGCCAATCACCACCCAGGACTCCAGTAGATAGGGGGTTGTCCAGGAGCCGTAAGAACTCCTGGCTCAGGGAGGGCAGGACCACTCCCTTGGATTGGACTCCATGCCATCAACGATGAGGCACCCATGTTTCCCTCGCTCCAATCCACCGAAGACCTGAGGATTCGAGATTGTTTTCCAACAAAAACACTCTCAACTCAACTTGAGATGAAAAAAAGAAGACAACACGTGCGACGTATGTGTCCGTATCAAACCAGTCTTCCCCAACAACTCCCTGATTTCCGAACACGGGTGCTCGCCCGACTTTTCTGCGAAAGCAAACAAATCATCCTGCACCAAACGTGAACATGAAGACGGCGGTGGGTACTAGCCAGCGACAAAATCCTGGAGCTCCAATCGTTGACCCCCGACATACATCGCGTAGGGAGTCTAGCAAGGGTATCCCAAACGAATGGGGTCCAAGTACCAAACAAAACATCGACGTGAAGGGTCCGAAGGCTCCGAAGGGCTCTGAAGGGCTCCAACCTCGACCGACCGGGGTGGTGAAACCGAGGGATCGCAGAATCTGCGATCTGCGAGAGGATCCGGGCGTCCCAGATCGCTCAGAGTCTCAGGGATCCAACGTTGCACAGCGGCCTGGGACCCGACTAGCGATGGCTGTCAGATGTATCAAAGGGATCCAGCCAGCCGATCAGATCTAACTCGAGGAGATTTCAGGGATGTATTTATTGCTTGATATGTTTTGTCCCATTTGCTATTGGCAGGTGCCCAAAACGCGAGTCACTCCACTCTCAAATACTATCAACCCTTGGATGGCAATCACTTACAGACCTGTTGGATCTTGTTGGCTTATTCATCACCAATGTTGGGAGATATAGCCATCCACTGCTCCTGCTCGTTGTTCCTCCCTGAAATACATCTTCAACCCCCATACAACGGAACATGTAAAAACAAACACCTGGCAGCATCAAAATTCACCTACCGTCCACGCGGTGCGTCTGGTGACGTCTTGGAGCACCTCGCCGGCGCTCTAGGCCGGACTCGCCGGAAGCTCCTGGCCCCCAGCCGAGCGCCGGGACACCGGCTGCGCGAGCGAGCAAACGGTCGCAAGCAGCGCTGTGGACCGAGTCTTCCGCTGTGGATCTCAGGGTGAAGGAGGATTGAATACACTCGACTGATGAATACACTCTTGCCAGATGTGGACTGTACATCCTCTTCATATATGGGAGGTCATTCATGTGTACACAAGTTAGTGCTAGCAAAGAAAAGTGTGCGAATCCTGCGCTGCCACTGGTGATGGAAGCACTCATGCATTCATAGCCACATCCCAAGCTGAGCCCAACAAATCCCAAGCCAAGCCGTGGATCTCTAGTGTTACATCTGGTGAAGGATACCTGGGATTCAAACATGTTCAAACCACCTCTATAATCCAAGTTGGATGAACCTTCAGCAAGTGACCTTAGGGCGGTTTGGGACACTTTTTGGGCATCTGTTTCTTCGACAATCCACGAAAACCCCCTCAATCACAAAAAAGAATGTAGGTTTGAGACCATCTCCACGTTGTTTTTTTTTTTAAATCACGGACTACTAGCCCGAAGAATACAGACTGACTAACTAGTCTTTCAAACTGATGACCGTTGTCTTCTCACCCATCGCCCACCTCTGATCCTTCAAGAGGAGCTCCTGCGACATGGAAGAGGAGCAGGTTCCATCTGGTTCCCCCGACGGTTCCGGTTTGGGTCGAGTCCTTTAGTTCGGAAGGAGCCATTGAACCATGTGTTGGCCATCTACCAGTGCACCCAACCTGTCACTCCATGTGAGTGTTGTTCAAAACCGATGTTTGGAGCGTGACTTTAAAGATGAACACCTAGGTTTTGAACGATGCTCATGTGACCCCTGGTTGATAGATCTTCATACCAGCACCGAGCCCAACAGCTCTCCGTTGCATGGAGGCTTGGGAAAGGCCCTAACAGGCAGGTTTCAATCGGTGACCTGTGAAGTCGGTGCTGGTAGATATATAGATTATATATATATATATAGAGAGATTATATATATATACCAGGGAGTGCCAAGGAGTGTCCAACTGACACCCCAAAAAAGAGGTCGATCTGAACCCTCACCGGGGCGTTCTAACGGAGGGGATTTTCACACGCCGTGTTCGACCGTGTTCGACCGAAACCACCGCGGTCCGGCGGACCGGTAGAAGCCCGAGAAGGCCTCGATCGTCGTGGTGAAACGCGCTAGTCAGCCTCGGTCTTGAGGTGTTCTGCCTACTTAGACATCGTGAATTCTTAGGTATGCTTGGGTTATATAAGAACAACCAGGAGATTAGAGAATGTTGTCAGACGTTCCCTGTCAACCAAGTCTTGGTAGAAGAGGGTTGGAACCATCTGAGCCCAAATTGGGGCCAGGAGGGGAGGAACATCTTCGAAACACCCCTCTTCCCCGTTAAAAAAAAAAAAATGAGCGATCAGCATGTTGTTTCGCCTCCCATGTCAAACTTGAATGTCCGGTCCCCAGACTTTCTCGACTCCAAATCGAATGTCCACCGGCCAAAACTGCCACCGGCCGCGGCGATGGTTCTCTCCTGGCACACTGGTCACCTCCTCCGCTTCGTGCGCACCAGTGACATGACCTGCCATGGGGTTGGTTCACTTCCCTGTCCTCCCACGGGAGTGAGTCCAGCTGAGTTAGTTGTCAGGTTCCAAAGGTTCCAACCATCGAAACGCCTGGAGTCAAAGATCACAGGAAGTCGGGGTGCGGGGAACCCGAACGGAGGACATCGGGGTGCGCCTGTCATATCCACTCACTGGATGGATGGGACCAAAAGCATCCCTATCTGTGATTCCTGGTCATGGTTTCTCCTTGAATTCTGATTCACACCTCCACCACATGCCACCACCTTCGTCGGCAGCCACCGAACGTTTTGGGATGTGGCCACCGAGCCAGCTGAATTTCCATTCATTCCTTACATGTCCTCCCAGTCCGCGCTTCTTCTTTCGTCGTCCAGCACGTTCCAGGGGTCGAATCAGGGATTTCCTCAAGCGCGAGCGCCTTTGTGAGCTGATGAAACCACGTACTCGAACAATCGCGGAGGTATCATGAAAAAAAATGCATATTATATATATATATATGCCAGCTGCTTTCAAGGGGTTACCAATGGACAACCCTTCACTGCTTATAGATCACCATTGGACACCCATTGGAAGCGCTAGGTATATATATGGATGTTTAGGATGAAGCGCTGGCCCATTGGATTACGCATCGGATGACCTGCAGAGCCTCTGCAGGTGGTGTGGTTTTCCACTTCCATGTGACTCAGAGTGTTTTCGTCTCAGCAAACAGTGGAAATGAAGATGGAGACCCTGATGGCCGCCACTGGGTTTGAGTAGATTCTTCCTCTTCGCAGGAATCTTTGGGGAAGTCATTTCAATGCACAGTCCAGCTTCATCCAACGGTCACCGATAGACTAGCCCACACTGCTGACCTCCCTTGGACACCTACTGGATGATCCAGGTATGTGTTGTTACTGTTGTTTCATCCCCTAGCAAACCCAGTAACACCCCTGTCAAATACCTTTTTAGCAGCTTTCACCACCACAATTACCAGGGCGGTTTTTCACCACCACGGTCGTCTTCGCTTCGCTTTTCGCTCGCCTTCTTCACTGGCCAGCTCCCGCCCAGGAGATACCTACAGGCTCTGCACCATGTCTGCAGGTTTGGGGAGAAACAGCCAGGGGGATTTCTTCCTGCCCGGAACCCATTCCCTTTTCCAGTGAATTTAGTGAGCACAGAGTGGTGTCAAACCTATCAAAACAACAAAAACCGATCGTAGACCTACATTGGGGTGGTTGAAAAGGGGTCACGGAAAATCGCATGATGAGTATACATGGTTGTTCTTTGTTTCAGGCACTTCTCTACTGAACCTCGAACCTCGCGGGCGGTTTTTGCGACGCGCTCGTCCCAGTCGCCAGGGATTCTCTACTACCCTTTTGCCACCCCCTCGGTGGGTCCGTCGGTCGATCCAGCCGGCTGTCCCCTCATGAACATCCAAGAAAACCGAACCTGCTTGCATTCATGAATGCGGCAGCCCTCTGGACGTGCCGTGGACGTAAGAAAGCCTTCGTGTTTCTGGGGTGGTCCACCTCCACTTCTCGTTTAAATTTAAAAAATAAACACATGCCAAGACTAGTGTCCATGTGATTGAGTACAAAAACATGTCCATTCTGATAACATGTCTGTGCCAAAACTACGACTTGTTCAAAATATCTCATATATGTCCAATTCAATTCTGAAGTACTAAACTCTTTCTGACTATAGAGTTCTTGATCGCCCATGGACACCACACATCTGCAACGTGCGATCACCTGTCCTTATGGGATTGGGATTCTCGTGCCCCATATATCCACTGGTCGAATGTCCTGACAGGGGGTGAACCTCCCCTCGAGTGAAAGTGAAATCCACCTGCAGGTCTCCAAACTGGTGGTCACCAGCTACAGCGGTGAAGCAAAGGAATGGTGATCAGTGATTGATCAAGGAAACGAGTGGATCAGTGATTGAAGCATTGATTAAGGTGAGCAAAGCTTGAGCTTGATCAAGGAATCAAGTCGAACCTGCTCAAGCTGTGCAGGAAATCCACCAGCTACAGGATCTATGAATCACATCCAGCTACACTACACTCTCTGGCTGATCCCGGTCAGGTCAACGATGCTTCGTCCCCCGGTCAGAGGGCGCCTGCGACGCTCTCTCCATGATCCTCGGAGCCGGCTTGGGTGTGTGTGTGTGTGCTCGGACGGGTCGAAGAAGCAGACGGCAAAACAGCTCGGAACTGAGGGCGCTGTGTCTTCCCACTGGGTACACAGTGTGATCCTCTCGCAAGAGAGAGAGAGAGAGAGAAAGAGAAACCATCTCTTTCTGATGCGATCTTCTGTACCAGCTGCTTCCGGCCACAGGGTGACCTGGCAAAAACAACCCGTACCACTGCTGAAAAAGATCACCAGACAGGACACCCAGACAGGAAGCGCTAGGTAGATATCTAGACTTTATGACTTTATGGTATTGTCACAATGTATATATAATCCCACAAATGATCAACAGAGAGTATATCAGTATTAGGTTGTGAAAACGGGAGCTAGGATCATATTGAATGGAAGGGGAAACATCTATAAAGACTTGTGAGGTGGTGGATTGCCCTAGACCAAGGATATGTGCATCCCATCTGGTCTTTGGCTACGAGATGAGCCTTCAAAATACTCGTGGAACGAGCACCCGTGTGGAACGAGTACCTGAGTACCTCCCCTTTTCTCACAGGGGAGGTTGATACAATAAGATCAAAGGATGAATGTAAACTCCTAGCCGCCTACCCATGTCTGAAAGAGCTACATTTGGGCCAAATCAACGGAATCCTCATATAAACCGCTGCTCAAAAAACGCTGCCAAAACGAAAATGGGCAAGCCAGCCGTGGTGTCTTCCACTTCCTCATGGCCGGGTGCCCAATGACGCCTTTGACTTGGGACTCGATTCAACGGATCTTTCATCTTTCTCTCTCCTCACTCCATCCAAATGCCAAGAACCTCACCTAATCCCAACCTTTGCCACTGGGAACGCGTGCCACACGGGTCAATCCCCAAAACACGGCCGCCGGTCGCCACCGTGGCCACCGAGGGGCTGATGTTGGAGCCGCACGGCCATGAGGCCGCCAATGACCAGCCCTGGCGGAGGGCAGCTTTGCCCCGGTTTTTGTTGGGGGGAATGAGCCTATTGGGGAGTATCAACATCACCCTATGAGCCTATTGGGGAGTAGGCTAAACTTCCATGGTTTTTCCATTGCTTTCCGGCCATCCGAGTCTCCCTGGCCATCCGAGTTCTTCCAGACAGCACAGGTGTCCGTCTGATCTCAACGCGAGTTCTGTCTGCCGGACACATGGACCAGCCATACCGGCAGGTGCGACACACTGGCAGGAGCCATGTTTTCGGAGTGAGGCTTGGCCCATCATCTCCGGTAACCGACTCATGAATTGAACTAATCCTGACATGTTGCACATTAAGAAATTCTAGTCTGAAACTGAGAATTGTAGAGAATGAATATCAGTTTCATAGTAATCTCAGGTCATCTCTGCTGGAGTCTTTGCTATTCTCCGCTTCTTCCCGTGGCATCTTCTTGGAGCAGCAGCCGTTCCATTCTGGAACACTCTCAACTCAACAATAGAGCTGCTCCCGCTCTCCAGCCTCAAGCAACAACCGTACCACTTCCAACGCACCGTTAAAGGCTGCAAGCATCAAGGCAGTTGCCCCATTTGCGTCTGCCGCATTCTTGTCAGATTCAGCCTCGAGCAACAACTGTACCACTCCCAAGCAGCCACAGTGCCAGAGGCGCAAGGAGTAGTGCTTCCCAAACACTATCCTCGGGCACACAGAAGTCCAGAATTACCAACTGCACACTTGGTGGTTGTGTGACAGGAATATCATCCTGCACTTTAGTGTGCCCATGTCCGAAATCTTGAGTATTCAATTCGACCGGCCAGGGGCTTCTTCAGATCGCCAACAGATTTTCCACTCTCCATGCAACCCAATCTTTTCCCCAGGAAGCTGACAGTGACGACAGTGACACCTGAGACTGTTGTACTCGCCATTGCTCAAACAGATCCAAGGCAGTGGCTCCAGCTTGGTCCATAATACCTGCGGATATCATGTATCCCTCTCATATGCTCTTATTCGTTCAACATAGAAAACCAGCCTCTCTATGCTCATCTCAGAACCGCTTCAAGCGCTTCGCGGGTCCCTCTCGGACCGTTCCGCTCACCCCGCTCAACCCGCTCCACTACGTCGTCGCCTGCATCCACATACTGCAGCACGAAGCACTCGTACAGATCACCCAACCCCGCCTGAAAACTCCACACGGCGGCTTCGGCGGCTCGGAACACGCTACGGTCAGACGAAGACGCCGCGCTTCTGTGGTGTGATGAACATCGGCCGTGAGGAAAGGAGTTCCGAAGGATGCCCTGATGCCTGGGAGGGTGTGTGGGTCAGATTAAGCATGAAAAAGCTGCCTGGAAAAGCAAGCTTCCAAAGCTAGGACAGAGTGCCGTTGATGGACAAGTGCACCAACAGGCAGCACTGGTGAGAAACATGGGAAAAACTCTTCCTCCATGGGACTGGCATGTTGATGCGTCTTTGCATACACAGGGTGCTTTCAGGGGCCAATGGCCTTTGCATATAGGTACCAGCAGTATATACATTATATATATATATAATTATATATATAACATATCCGGGGAGCATGTGTTTTTTCGTTGTTCCGGCACTCTCTCGGGAGACTTCAACCTCAAGGGTAAAGACACCGCCTCTCAGCCACAGAACTGCCTCCCTTCCCGCACGCATATTCGCATATGCCACAATGTCCAAGACGCCCCGAAGAAAGACACAGCGAGTGATCGAGCCTTCAACTCGCAGATCAGGGCCTTGTCCTTGTTCCGGCCTTGCACATGAACTCCTCCGCAGCGACAGTGTTCGGAACACCAACGTCGACGGGGCCAGACGGCCTGGGACCGGGAGGAGGGGCTTCTCCCGCATTGTTCAGGGCTGTCGCCTTCCGATCAGTTCCACCGTCAGTGAGAAGGTGGGACGTCGCAGCACCAACTGGTGCACACATGCGGAACAGCACCCATGCCAGACCATCCAATCCTCGCGCTACATGTTTCACGAGTAGGGTAGGGTATATAATGGTAATGATGAATCCAACACCCCATATTAAGAGGCTTGGTGAATTATACGTATAATATTATAATGTATTAATCAATCAAGAGTCCACCTTCCAAACATTCCCCTCTGATCCACGCACCTTCCTGGACGACCGCGCTTTTCGCGAGTTCCTCGCGAGTTCCGCGTGTGTTTTTTCAGCTTCCTGGGCCCTGGAAGTTGCCCTGCAGCGTCAGGAGGGGGTAGCCGGTCCTGGCAGTCAGGATCAATACGACACAAGGGAGACCTCAGGTCTCCCTGAGGTCTAAGTTACACGTCTGGTTTTACATACTCATGGAACCCCTGAAGAAATGAAAACAACAACAACCACCCCATATGCAGGTCATATAATAGTGCCATTACATGGAGTGGGGGAATCTTATCGGTGCCTACTTGTTCTTGTTCCCGCTGTGTGGAAAGAATGACCACTAACCACTGCATCTGTATGACCTTCATAAAGACCCCTTTGGAGACTGAGCAAATATTGACTTAAAGACCGGTTGGTAGTTGGTTGGAGCTCCCTATTACAATTTACAATTAAAGTTTTGGTTGCGACCAGGGGAATCGTCAAAACAGCCTCTCCAGTTTGAGCCACGAACAGTTCGACGAACATAGATCTTGCATTGAAACGCTCAATTTTGCAGGGGGAAGGTTGGTCAAAAAGAAAATTGAATGGGTCCAAACCTGAAGTCTATCGAAGTCTAATCTGTTCATCTTGCTTTTCTCATGAGGGGTTGGGTGGCCATACCAAGACAAAACCCCCCGGCACAAAAAATGGTTGCTTCACAGATTGCTCCCATGAAACACCAACCACTATCCGAGATCATCCAGGAAATCGTGCACGATCCCTAACCCAAAGATCCTCCTCTCAATCATCCCGGTAACGTCCACTAGTCGTATGGAGTTTAACAGACTACAGAAATCAAAACAAAAAAAAACTACAGTATAGCCTAGCTTGCAGTTGCAAACAATTACAATACTGTACGCATGACTGTTGAATCAAACGGACATATAGATTGATTCAATGTGCCCAGTCAATGTTCAGCTCACGGTCGCCTATGGCGGATACAGAAACGGTTCTCTCCCTCGGGCTCCACGAACCTCAGTGCAACGAAGGAACTCGGGATGAACCCAGCATCCAGGGGATCCAACTCAGCAAAGGTCAACATGTCATGATGTCTTCAAACGGCTCATGGTAGCTGACAGGGATAGGCATCAGCCACAAAGCAAGTCTGCAAAGCTGTTGTGTGGCACAGGGTTGGCGGGGCAACTTGGGCAAACCAACTCTGCCTCGCTTTATATGTGCCTATGGAACTGAGCCACGGGCATAAACGATAATGACAAAACGCAAGTGCGCAGCAACGCAACGTGTTGTTGGTTGGTCACGCACCTTGGGCACAACCACTCTTTGGATTGCATATAGTTGCTGCACTCCATTCGTTCATATGTCCATGTCCGCGAATCCAACTGCTCTACAACATCAACATACATCAACAAACACAAACACATACACACTGCGTGCTGTATCAAACAGTCTTTTGGCAGTTAACAGGGGCAAGCGTCAACTGCACTCCGAAGCAAATCTGCGAACATGCTGTGTGGCACAGGGTTGGCGGGGCAAATCGGGATAAACGACTCTACCTCGCATGCATGTGCCCATGGGACCAAATCAGCAAAGGTCAACATGGCATGATGTCTTCAAACGGCTCATGGTAGCTGACAGGGATAGGCATCAGCCACAAAGCAAGTGTGCAAAGCTGTTGTGTGGCACAGGGTTGGCGGGGCGACTTGGGCAAACCAACTCTGCCTCGCTTTATATGTGCCTATGAAACCAGCTAGAAAGCCGCGGCTTTAAGCACAATTAGTGACGAAATGCAAGTGCCCCAAGTGCAGTTGGTTAGTGATGCACCTTGGGCACAACCACTCTTTGGATTATATAGTTACTGCACTCCATTCGTAGACATGTCCACGTCCATGAATTCAACTAACTGTTCTGCAACATCAACAAAAACACACACACACCCACACACTGCTGTATCAAACAGTCTTTTGGCAGTTGACAGGGGCAAGCGTCAACTGCGCCCCAAAGCAAATCTGCGAACATGCTGTGTGGCACAGGGTTGGCGGGGCAAATCGGGATAAACGACTCTACCTCGCATGCATGTGCCCATGGACCAAATCAGCCAAGGTCAACATGTCATGATGTCTTCAAACGGCTCATGGTAGCTGACAGGGATAGGCATCAGCCACAAAGCAAGTGTGCAAAGCTGTTGTGTGGCACAGGGTTGGCGGGGCGACTTGGGCAAACCAACTCTGCCTCGCTTTATATGTGCCTATAAAAACAGCTAGAAAGCCGTGGCTTTAAGAATAGTGACAAAATGCAAGTGCCCCAAGTGCAGTTGATTAGTGATGCAACTTGGGCACAACCACTCTTTGGATTATATAGTTACTGCACTCCATTCGTAGATATGTCCACGTCCATGAATTCAACTAACTGTTCTGCAACATCAACAAAAACACACACACACTTATCAAACAGTCTTTTGGCAGTTAACAGGGGCAAGCGTCAACTGCGCCCCAAAGCAAATCTGCGAACATGCTGTGTGGCACAGGGTTGGCGGGGCAAATCGGGATAAACGACTCTACCTCGCATGCATGTGCCCATGGACCAAATCAGCCAAGGTCAACATGTCATGATGTCTTCAAACGGCTCATGGTAGCTGACAGGGATAGGCATCAGCCACAAAGCAAGTCTGCAAAGCTGTTGTGTGGCACAGGGTTGGCGGGGCGACTTGGGCAAACCAACTCTGCCTCGCTTTATATGTGCCTATAAAAACAGCTAGAAAGCCGTGGCCTTAAGAATAGTGACAAAATGCAAGTGCCCCAAGTGCAGTTGATTAGTGATGCAACTTGGGCACAACCACTCTTTGGATTATATAGTTACTGCACTCCATTCGTAGATATGTCCACGTCCATGAATTCAACCAGCTGTTCTGCAACATCAACAAAAACACACACACTGCTGTATCAAACAGTCTTTTGGCAGTTAACAGGGGCAAGCGTCAACTGCACTCCGAAGCAAATCTGCGAACATGCTGTGTGGCACAGGGTTGGCGGGGCAAATCGGGATAAACGACTCTACCTCGCATGCAAGTGCCCATGGGACCAAATCAGCAAAGGTCAACATGTCATGATGTCTTCAAACGGCTCATGGTAGCTGACAGGGATAGGCATCAGCCACAAAGCAAGTCTGCAAAGCTGTTGTGTGGCACAGGGTTGGCGGGGCAACTTGGGCAAACCAACTCTGCCTCGCTTTATATGTGCCTATGGAACTGAGCCATGGGCATAAACGATAATGACAAAACGCATGTGCGCAGCAACGCAACGTGCTGTTGGTTGGTCACGCACCTTGGGCACAACCACTCTTGAATATAAATACTGCACTCCATTCGTACATATGTCCATGTCCACGAATCAAACTGCTCTACAACATCAACATACATCAACACACACACATACAGTACTCATACACACTGCTGTATCAAAAAGTCTTTTGGCAGTTAACACGGGCAAGCGTCAATTGCACCCCAAAGCAATTCTGCAAACATGCTGTGTGGCACAGGGTTGGCGGGGCAAATCGGGATAAACGACTCTACCTCGCATGCAAGTGCCCATGGGACCAAATCAGCCAAGGGTCAACATGTCATGATGTCTTCAAACGGCTCATGGTAGCTGACAGGGATAGGCATCAGCCACAAAGCAAGTCTGCAAAGCTGTTGTGTGGCACAGGGTTGGCGGGGCAACTTGGGCAAACCAACTCTGCCTCGCTTTATATGTGCCTATGGAAACAGCTAGAAAGCCGTGGGCAACATCTCATCAAAGCTTCACCCAGGCTGAGGCCATCTCATCCAACAAACGTCGGTGCAACGCTCCGAAGCTGACGCGACGCGAGTCCGTTCAGTCCCGCTGAAACAAAGGCTGCCATCAAACGATCGAACCTGCAAAAGTTCAACCCCTGAAGAAATGACTAAAGAGAGCACCATATTTCAAAAGCTTTCCTTTGCATCAAAATGCGGGAGAACATGGGATTTGCATGGATTTGCTCAAGGAACCAGGAAACCACGACCCAATTCCGGACCCAACAAAATACCAACCATGAAACCACCTCCGGTGCATCCCCTCCGGCCCATCCGGCCCATCCGCGCCGACCGGGCAACCAGGCGCGAACATGTCGGTCATGTAGTCGTGGACCGTCGGTCGACCTGATGAAAGCGGACTCGGGACTCGCCAGCGAAGACCAGGCAAGTGGTTAAGCCTGACTCACGCCCGACCGAAGGAGTATATACTATGAATGATTTCAATTTCAAACTATTACAATATGTTTTCAATTGTTTTCATACATCACAGTGTGCATCCCTGGCCCTCACCAGTCACCAGCTCATTCGTAAAACCAGTCACTAGCATGAGACAAGCGTTGAGAATCACTCCCTGGCAACTGCGGGACAAAAAGCATCTTTGGAGTCTTTGGAGGTTGGGTAAATATGAACATGGTGTTGCATGGTTTTGCAAACGTGCAGTGAGAAGCCACCCGAAACCCTTGTAGAATACAAAAACGCCTGTTTGTCTTGCAGAGTTCCCGCAATTGAAGGTTTTCCCTTTATCTATCCTTATCTAAAGCCTCTTGCACATGCCCAATCTAAAGTTTGCAAGCAAACATCACCAAGTTTCCTTCAGGACACCGTTGTGCCTCTAAACAAAGAACTTCCAGAAACTAAAGTGTTCAATGAGATCCCAGCACTACAGACAATCTGATGCTGTTCCATTGATGCAAACACAACAGTATGACCGAACCGGTCTGCAGATGCGCAATTCCTTATGAATAGATGGAATGGCATGGCGTTCCCTATTTCAGCTGGTGCAAAGCAGCCTTGTCCAACAAACACATCTGAGGGTTGTACAGCTCCCAAACTCGCTTGGAACAACAGGAACGAGGAAGCTTCATCTGTCACCATCTTGAGCGTCAACGACATAATGACTTGCAAGAGATTGCAAGTCAAAGTGACAAATTGTGACAATTCATTGGACCATTGAGCTTAACATGTCGCACCCCAGAAACGAATTTGTCACGTTGAAGTGATGGTCAAGTTCTATTCTACTGCAACAGTCTGCAATAGTATAGTCACTGAGATTCTTAAGTAAACACAGCTCGAAAACAGCTCAGCTTGTGCTTCAAATCGGCATTTCTGAAGCTGCTTAAGATTCTGGGAGCTCACACACTTGGGAAATGCTGGTCCAAAATAGGCGGAAATGTAGCTTCAGGGATCCTACCTTCCAACACCCACACTGAAACGAGGGATAACGGCATAAGCGGCCATTTTTTTACCCGGACTTGTCGTGTCAGTGTCCCACCCCGACTTAGTCACATGTTGTTCGGAGCAACTTCCACAAGACTTCTGGGGTGTCCGGGCAAAGCTGCAAGCTTTGGCCCATGGTGCTATGCCTGTCAGAACGCGGGCCAACGATGTCCGACACGCCAAAATGGAGGAGTTCTTCATACCCGGTACCTAGCCAGGTTGTACCACAACCAGGAAAACCCGAGCCTCGCTCCCTCGCAAAAGCTCGTCTATCCATCCATCCAGCGTGCGAACGGCGCTGTTTCGGAGACGGCGCTCGGACGGCCGATTCAACGCCGGGCACCGCGGGGTTCAGAGGGAATTCCCTGCTAGCCTCAGCAAAACAAAGGAGGAATCGACTGGAAAGCGATGCTGTCAACATGTTGTCAACGAAAAACCAGCTAAGAAGCTTTAGTATAGCATGTCTGAAAAAAGCTTTCGAGTAACGAACGAAGCTACGTTACGTTCGGAAGACCGGTCTGGGCAGGTCTGGTCATCCTTCTGAATCTGTTTGGGAGATCGGCGTCCTCGTCGCCTGCGTCTCGTCGGACGGATGAGAGCTGGACTCGAGCGTCGACCAACCGAGGGACTGGAGCGCAGGTATGAACCACTCCCAAGTCAACTCACATGGACTCGGGTCGGTACCCTCAAAGACTGTTTTCCTCTAGCTGCACCAGTGGTTTTCAGAGTCTATGTTAGTTTTCAGTGGGGAATATACATGGATGGGGCCATTTGGATTCTGGATGGAATCTTTTCTTGACAATCCCATAAGATGGTCTGAAAAAGGCGGCTGTCAACCCGGGCACCCTGGTTCTGTGGAAGAGGTGTTAACTCACAGCCAGATAGAACAGGTTCCAAGACGTCCAACAAAAAGAAACAACATTATGTACAACCCCAAAATGCCGATAATATACGATCTCTTCATCCTTTCATTTGATTTGTGGATATGTGGGGTAACTTGCGCCATCGAACCTCTGAAGCCGTTAACTTAAAGCCATTCATGGCTGCGTTGCCTGGAAAATCCTGCGATCCTCAAAGCCGAATCATTCACAGGAAGACCGGGGGAGCCGGCGGAAGCTACGCATGGGCGTAGCTGTGAAGGTTCTTGCGATTTTTTAAAGGTACGTAGTTTCTGTATTAGCTGTGAAGTTCGAACTGTAGCTGTAGCTGCAACTGTGAAGTTCTAACATGGAACCTGAGAAATTCACCCGTAGCGCCTCGCCATTTTCCGAATACCAACCCAGTGTAGGAAGACCATGGAAAACCTTTCAGAACGGAGTCCCCTCCCCCGTTCAACATTCACAGCTCGGAGCTCCAAAAAAAAGGGATTGCCATCAAGAAACAGTCCAATACTTAGCATCGCAATATGTTGGTCTGCGAGGTTGACGCTCTTAATGGATCTCAATGGGATAATATGAAAGCAGACACTATGAATCTATGAATCTGTACTCATAGGTTGCGCTCTTCTCTCATGGTCCATGAGGGATACATAGGGATACTGTAGTTTCCAGGTTGTGTATGTGTTGGCAGAACCTGAACGTGCCTGTGCAAGGTGAACAAAATGTGTTCTGCATCATATGTTTGTTATTGTACCGCATGCACATTCCAAGAAAACCTCTTCGAATTTCACTGAGCGAGGTCAGCAAATCAACCCAAAACCATCCAACAACCAATCTCACACCGCTCATTTCCCAAACGCGCCTGGCTCTCACCAAAGCAATAGTGTTTCCCCTCGCACTCTGGATCTTTATGGTGCCCAAGACACCTTCGGCTTCGCGAAGCAGTTCCGTTCCCCGAGCCGAGCAGAAGGCGGCTCCCCAGGGATGCTAAGAGCAGAGCATCTATGGAGGACCTTCACGTCTCGGAACAGCTTCCGCAAGAACATCCCACGAAACGTGTCGCGACCCTTGATCCTCTGATGATGAAGTATAGATGAACATCGAACAGCAAGTGAACAGCAAGCGGCCGGCACCGATCCTCCACCAATACACCAACTTGGAACCCTGGCTTGGTCACACTGACTTGTCACTTGTTGATGCTATGTGCTCTTGTTGCTGCAGACCTGCAGAATCCTCAAAAACCACGGTCAACACACAACTCTTGAGCTACTATGGCGAACCTTTGAAAGGGCCCATGTTTGATACTTGACTGGCTGGCGGGGTGGTGAGAACATGATTTGGGCCTGAATAAAAGGATGGATAGAGTTAATAGAGAAATCAAACTTCAGGCCTCGAACTCCCAAGCATCTACTCTTGAATGAAAGGCAGTCTATGGCAGTCTGCATCTCTTCTCCCTCCTGGAAATTCACAAACACATCATGCTCACGTTTCATCCTCCTCTCCCCTCTGCTTCACCTCTTCACTTCAAAGACCGCAAAAAACGACTCACCGCGGCCAGCACCGCCACCACACCACCGCACCACCGCACAGTCGTGGAGCCCGCGCGCTTGGGCACCTGCCGCCGAAGCGGAGGAGTCCCGGAAGGGATCCGGCCATTCAGCCTCGACCTGGCGCTGGCTGTCGAAGTGGCCATTCAGTCGAAGAAGAAAGGGGGCGAATGAGTGGATCAGAGTGGATGGGTCACCGAACACAGGGCTCCACACAACTGGTTCGTGGTTCGGATCCTGTTTTTGGTGGAATGGGTCTTGAACTGTAGTCTAGGATTTGAGACATGTCCTTCACTTTGAGACATTTCCCAAATTATCGAATGTCTGCCTTTGAACATTAGGTGGACTGGACTCCATGTTTTCCCAGTTCGATGCGCGGACCATCGACTGATGTTCTCACCAGAGGAGAGGGTCTCCGTCTGTTCGCCACAAAGATGAAGATTCCGTCCAATCGGAAGGCGTTTCTGGTGGACATGACATGATGGGGACGTGAATGATGGTACCAACCTGGAAGAACGAAGAACTAGAAAGCAATGCTTGTTTCGGCCATGTTTGTCGATCCTCTACATAAAAGTGGCTGTCCAGACTGGGTTTCCAGGAAATTGGATCAGCAGAATCCATCGAAGCTGGAGGACTACTACAGCACTCCCAAAAAATCAAGGACTGACACCCAGCAGGTGCCTCCAAGTACGTCAAAACCAGCATACCTTGGTTGACCTACCCGACGAAGGTCGTCGGTCGTTCGCTGCATGACTGGTCTTTCGCTCCCCATCCCCGTGTGGTCCACGTTTAACACAGCGCCGTGTGGTCCCACCTATTTACCCTAGGGCTCCAACCACCTCCTGAGAAGATGGTTGGGATGGGTGCCAGGGGGGTCTAACCATCTTCTGAGGATATGGTTGGAGCCCTAGGGTTATATCCCAGACACGACCCATGAGACTGCCATAGCCGATCAGGCGAGGGGTGGTGGTTTGGGGAGTCAATTGATCGGCATAGTCTCATGGAGTGTATGGGTAATGGGTGGAAGAGTTGTAAACAGCTGGCGGTCAATGACCACAAACAGCTTGACGGTCAAAAAGGAAGTGGAGCTGCCTTGTTTTTTGCTGGTGGGTGCCATAATGGCCCTGCTGTTTGGGGGTGTTTGTCATGGTTTTTCATTGATTTGAGCCCGCAATGCTACTTTTGGATGGGGGGGGGGGGGGTGGGGGCAATGACGTTCGTGTCAACGTTCTATCTTCGCCTTGCAGTCGATCAACCAGGAATCAAACAAAAAAAAAACACAAGAGGATGAAGTCCGATGGAGTCCGGGCAACAGCCGTGAGACATGCACTGTCGACAACCAGGCCTTGCAAAATACTTCCCCACCAAGTCTGGTGATGCTAAAGCTGTCTTCCTAGCGCGAGAGAGGCCGCAGGGCGCCGCAGCCCTTTCCAGTTCCCCAAGCTGGTGACACCATTTTAACAAAACCGAAGCCAAAACCCCTGGTTCAGTCTTCCCAAGGCTGCCCAAAATACTCTAACAGGGCGGTATATGTTTGAGCGTCAGGTACCCACACTCCAGTGGGGAGGCACCTGACTGCAAAACCTTACAGTGGTGGCTGCATTGCTGGGAGAAAACTCAGGATTCATAACACCGCAAGGTGCCCAAAATACCTCCAACACCACCACTTTGTTAATTCCCTGTGGTGGCATCATCTGCCACCCTTCCCACCTTCCAGCATCCCACCTGCGATGACGAACATGAATCTATTGTTAGTTCTGCTTTGCTCAAAGTTTCGGAAGTGTTCATTGGTAATTAATGCAAAAAAGCAAACAACCATACAGTATGCAATTGCATTGCATTCTCGAGTTTCCGCATGTAAAGTGAGTCAGCCTGTGAGTCACCCAGTCGGGAATCATAGTCTTTGTTCAAGCACTCTGATCAATGAAAATGAGAGTTACCCCCAAGCATGCAGTCCACTGTCCTAACACTGCTCAATTTAGCATTCAACTAGTTGCCATGCCTGGACACATGTGCTCACTTGGAAATAAGCTATTGTTGTTCTGGCTGCTGAAACTTCCGCTAGCAAAAGGCAGAAATCCAGTTTGGTAGGATCTCGACTGCGAGTACATTCTTCAGACATCTTCAGACTAGATTTGCTGGAACATGTCCTCCAAACCTGTGAGGACCGCGAAGCGGAGTAGATCCCTTTTTGGGCGAAGTAAACCCCATGTTCCTGCCCTAAAAGAAAAAAAGGCTTGGGATGGTTTGGGGGTTCCTCATACCACCTCACTTGGGCAAGGGCTACTCAGTTGGGCAGCATCAGGCCGCAGAGAGGGCGCCCAGGTCGCACCCGGTCGTCGCCCAGAGGTCGGGCTCGTGTTCCGCTTTCGGAAGGCGTGCCTGCGTGTCATATGGCAGGCGCAGGGTGAGTTGGGCCTCCTTCTTCACCACCAGCTGGCAGACGGTGAAAAGTAGGCAACGAAGGGTCAGTGCGTCTCCCGCAACGCGGGTCGGGTGTTGTGGGATGTCCCGGGTAGCACGGGTCAGTTTGGTGTACCATATGCCGTCCATCATCAACCAACTGTTTCTGCAGGCTAATTTTGCCGATGTCCGTCAATGTCCGTGTTGCATGGCTACAGAACTTCTACAGTAGAAGCAATACGAGAACACTCAGAATGTTCCTAGCCTGATCTTTGCATGTTGAGTTTTGCAGAATTCTGCCCATCAACAAAAGTTTCAGCCATCCCATTTGGAGGCTCAGCCACTCCTTTGTGGGGCACTTCAGCTCCTAGCGCCCCAGAAGGTTGGTGGCGCTCCTGTCGGTGCCCTCATGCTCTTAGTCGATCCAAAGAAATGCCACATGAACTGAACATGAAGAGCGCACAGACGTGGCAGACTTGTCCAGCAGACACTATTTATCTCAGTATTTATCTCCATGAAGACACTTCCGATCTATGCTTCGTAGTTTCCGTCGCTTTTGTGCTGCGTCGTTCTGTTTGTTGTCTGCTTCGTTCTCACCGATGAACCCAGTGCCCAATCGTTTGTGCGGCCGTTCTCACTCACTGGGACCCATCCACCCGACGTGTGGGAAACAAGTCGAATGCACGTTGCACGGTGGTGGTGTGGTGAACGTGGCAGTTGCCGAATCCGAAAATCGGACGATGAGGATCCTTTCATTTACAGGTGCACTTTGGGAACCAAATATATACCCAGTTATATACCCAAATTCTCCTTGAACTGGCCCCCCTTCACCCTTTTTTCTTTTTCGGTGAACATCTCACGCTCTCAGCATCTCACCTGGGGCGTGAGGGGAGTGAACATCTCATCTTTGTCCTGGCGCGCTTGCGCCAGTGGATCATTCCTCATAACGGACGTGCAATCGAACGCACGGACATGATGCCAAGGAATGTCACTGGAGGTGAATACATTACCTGAGGTCTAAGGGTGGAGACACCCCTGGCCGCCTGGTCGGCAACGAGTTTGGATTCTGCAGGAGAGACCGGTGTGGAAAGGATTGAAGGGTTCGGCAGGATACGGCAGGTACCTGATGCTATTTCCAATATCGTCTGTTCCGAGACCAGTACGAGGGATTTTGAGCCATGCCATAAAACATCCTAAAACTATAGCATGCGGTAGATTTGAACCTGCATCACCACCAAGGAATACCAAGCAGCTTGAGGAAAAGACCACACCTTTCCACTTTCTACCTCAAGGGGTTCAACCAGTTCCGTACTGTCTCTCACTTCTAAAGCCCACAAATACCGGGCTTCCGATCCTCCGATCCTCCTGCCCTTCGACCGCTTCCACGATCCGCACGGACCGGGTCCACGACCACCCGTGAGACCTGTCCCCGTTTGACCCGGGGAAGCGAACTGCGAAAGAGACCGGTCGAACTCTAACGGTCTACCCAGACCACGGGTGTCGCAGAGACACGACCCGTCAGTTCCCCACGACCCGTCCACACGACCCGTTGGATCGTCTGTGCACACGGACGACTACGACCACGTCTGCACGTTCTGAACCGTTGCGCGACGTCGGGGCCTGAGACTGACCGAAAGAACCCGTTTGCACGTCTGGAAGCAGGGAAGTTGATGGATTGCCGCGGCAGAGGATACTGTTCTTCACCATAAAACCTGAAGGTAGAAGTTGTTGACATGTGATTCGTGCAGGCCCTAAAGGGTAACGTTGCAAAGCTGCCTCCTTGCAAAACTGTTATTAGCATTAGGAACTGTGCAAAAATAGAGAATATTCCTCAGGTACGGGGATCTACCCACAGGATCCCACAGGGAACATAAGAACCACGTGATCAGCACAACTAGGAACAGTGCTGCTTGTTGCATACGACCCTGGCAACCACTTCCACTCGTGCAAGCGGTTTCCGGTGGGCTGTTTCTGCCGGCGGCAGAAAAGCTCCTCTCGGAAGAATCCGAAGGCCTTGGTCCAAAAGCGATCCGATCCCTTCTGACGGAGAAAGGCAAAACATCTGTCGGTGGGTCAAAAGTTACGGACCCGAGATCTATGGTAATGACCTTGTCAACAAAACGTCCAGGCTTTTGATCCACAGCGTATGACGACGGTGTCTCCCTAACAAGCCTACTCTTTCACAGAGTTCTTGCTTGATTTCTACAAAAGCAATCAGGAACACCCTCTCCGCGTACAGAAAGTCGCATCTAGAATCTAGAAGAGTATTAGCAAGAAGATGCAAGAAGCTAGTAGGTGGAGGCCATTGCTATTAGGTTGGAGGCCATCGCTACTAGTAACAAGAAGCTACGAACGTAGACTTGCAAGCCTGCCTTCTTCTTTCTAGAAGAGTATTCAACCATTTTTTCGAACAGAACGCAGAACTTCCTAGTTGAAGAACTGGAAGTGACGGACCTCAGCTGACTGCATTCTCTACTTCTGACTTCGCTCTTTGCTGGTTCACATGCTCTGGCAAAACTGGGAGCAAGGGTATTGGACCGGTCCTTGGCTTTGGACCTTCCTTTGGGGCGGCCATCTTCTTGTGGGATTTGTAAGAACAAAGGAGTTAAGTGAAATGTTTCACGTGTTTTGTGGAGAGACTTCTAGATAGTATACCAACAGAGGTGGGTCAGAACCCGACTGTTCGACTATCCCAGTTCGGTACCCCACTAGGGTCCTAGTTCAGGTCACTTAACCTCTGTTGGTAATGACTGAAGACATCGTAGCAGGAGAACGCAGGTCAGAAACGCCTGCGTCCTGGGGCCGCGAAGTGTTGCTACGGCTTCCTGGGCCGTCGTGCGCAAAGCATACTGACAATGGCCAGGATCAACAGCATCAAGAGCATGAGCAAGTGGATCTGGTCTGTGTAGCACTCCTCCAAGCGGCTGGCTCGAGCGAGCACACCATCAGCTGTGCCGCCTTCTCAAAAACTAACACATGCGCTTTGCATCCTGTTGGATACAATACCTGTTGGATACAATGCGACGATGTTATATAGCTAGTATATAGATAACCAATACTAGTATTATAATACCTGTGGGACGACAACTCGGATCGACACGGGACGTCAAAGAGTAAAAAAGGACATCTTCGGACCGGAGAAATGTGTCGTGTGCGGCATGCGCAGGCATCCCGAGTCCATGTCAGGCATGGGGTGGAGACGGTCATTTTGCAGCCATTGCGAGTGTCCGATCTACTGATGTGTCGGAGCAAATATGAACGGCAGGCGAAAAAAAAAAAAAAAGATTGATTCAAAAGCTACTTTTAAAGAAGGGCATTTCCCCGAGATATCGAGAGTATATTATAGAACATGTGTGCCCAGTTCTACCGTCTCTTCAGATTCACAATGAAGGGCTCGAAATCTGAGGATTCACCGACTCATTCTACAAAAAAAAAACATGGAAAGTAAATCAGGTGGTCATGTTGTAGGCTCCAAAAATTGATTTATAGTCGATTGAGAGTAGATGGCACAGACCCCAATGTTGGTGGTTTAGTAGTGGACCCCCATCTAAACCACCTTTTGGGGTCTGTGCCATGGAACCTCTGAAACCACTGTACTGTAATTTACGGAGATCCAAACGGAACAACATTCAACGTTTATGACTCGGTATACATCGGTCAGAATCGATCGGACACGCCGGAAGAAACAGATGTTGAGTCCCATGTTGACCCCTTGTCAGGCATCAAGTTGATCAAAGTCATCAAAAAATGGTAGACCGTTGATGATATTTCAACACCCCATACGGAGAGGTTTTACAATCCATCTTGAGGGGGTTAGGAATCAACAGTCTAATTGCAGAGTTTTGGTTGCGCAGGCACAGCAGTAGCATGAAGTAACAGCATGTGACAGGCACGTGCAGTGGCGAACATTTGAAAAGCTGAGTGCAGGTCTAAAAAAGCAATCACGAACCAAAACACACCAAAACCATTGCCGTTGCTAAAAAAAGAGTCGTAACCATACATGCCCTAAAAATGAGAAACCCCCTACCATTATGAGGACCTGAAAAGAAGAATTCTAGTAGCAAGGACGCTACGAACGTCACATTTTGGGCATCGCTACGAATGGAGCAAGGACGCTACGAACGTAGCTCCTGGCCTTACTACTATGGGCATGGGTCAAAATAGGGTACCCCCAATAACCACCATTTCAGTAGGGATTCCCATTATAAACCAATGGTTGGGGGGTACCCCTATTTTGACCCATAGCCCTATAGGAACAAGAAGCCGAGATGTATCGGTCCCACGCTCTTTCAGACCCGGGCCATCGCTGCCTGGCCCGGCACGCAGCTGCCAATCTGCAGCCATGCTCCGCGCAAGGCCTCAGCTCCACGTTCCGCCAGGTCTCTGAAAACCTTGGACCCCGTGAGTGACTGAAGTCCGGAGTCCGCTCTGCTCTCAAAATAGGGAGACCGATCATTCTAGGTGTACTGACCCCCTGGGTTCGGTTCGGGAAACAGGCCAAAAACCATTGGACCAGGGGGTTGGAATACAAACCCACATCACATGGCGGTCCTGGCACCCTGGTTCACCCTGTGGTCAACCACAGAAGATGAACAGATTCACGGCAAGCACCGACTCGTTGCGAGTCGAAAGATAAGAATCTGTTCTTCTTCCAGAATGGGATGACCTACCAGGACCTAGCTGGCGGCGGCATCGATCTCCTTTTTTCGCGGCATGACCTCACGGCCTGACCGCGATACCACCAGAAACGGCCTGACCGTTTTTGTTGGTGCCTTTGAGGTGGCGTTGTTGGTGTCTTTCATCGCTTCTTCGAGGCTGCTTTTCGGATGGCTGAGATGGCTATGGAGGCTGAAGGCATGGAAAAGTAAAACAAGGACAACTGGCTCGTCGCCGTGGCATCTAGCAACCTAGATTCCACCGAGATCTTCTTGATTGGTGCTGTAAGCCGTCCCCAGTGACATAACTGTCATCCTTCCGAAGAGGCATGAGCAAACATTGGGCAACAACACAAAACAACACAGGCCTCAGTGCGAAACAGACCCCCCAATTCTTTAACTCGAACAGAATCATTGCTGCTCTGGGAGTCCAAGAACGTCCACATGCTTCACACAGAACATTCGTGCAGTAAAAATACTCTTTCTTTATCTGAGACTTTACAGCTCGGCTTTCAAGGGCTTTGGAAGCAAGAGGGCAACACTAACACGTGACAGTTTTGTATTTGGAGAGTAGGTCTTTTTCCCCTCATGCCACAACTCCTTCAAAGAATGCACGACCAAAACCTTCTGGATCATTGGCGCAAACTGCTCCATGCGACCCACCTGAAACCTGCGACCCACTTGCGACCCACGGTCATCCCGCCTGTGAGATACCCTTGTCTGTTTGCACCTCCAAAACTCCAGTTGAGAGACCCTCAGTTCGTCCGCACGCCACACGCCGCCAAATTGCCAGCTCCCGCGTGAGGAAAGGAGAGGGGTTGGGGTTGAAAGAGGCTGGGTCGTGTTCGGTTGCATGGCGATGAGCACTCACTTTGACCGGAGCAAAATTGGAGCTGGGAACAATGAGGGACAAAGTCCACAACCATTCGAAGGAACCATTTTTTTCTGGATGCCCCAAAATGAGGTCCTCACCTCCCCAGCTCAACTCTTTGAGTCATTTTCGTGAACTCAAGAATCGGGGGGCTTTCACAAAACATCTGCAAACCGAATGTGAAGAGCGGAGCCAACGATCCAATAAGCTGGGCCGGAGCGAGCCTTTCGTCAACAAGGTGTGGCGAACTGAACTGAATGTTTTCTGATGGGCGTGTTTTTTCGGAAGTGCAGAAAAATGCAACTCCCAAACACAGCCCAGAGGTCTTGATCCACCTAAATTTTTGCCCAGCTAGGGCATTTGAGACCACCAAAAAAGCGCAGCGTTCTTGTTTGGGAGGAGCGTGAGGTTTAAGAGCCACGAGTTCTCTCCATCATGGGACATCAATATTACGGAAGGAAAGCAAAGCTACAAAGCTTCGGCAGAAGGATGAGTGTCACTTCTTAAGCAGTGACAGGTGTTCATGTCACTTCAAGGAAGACGTTATATGTCTAATTGAAATCATAGTGAATACATACGTCTAATATATATGCTAGTGTGTATATTCATATTATATATATTAAGCTGAATGCATTGTGTTCTCCTTACACACTGTCTAATGATAGCAAGTCTCTCTCGGGCTTTTCAAACCCGTTCTGAACACCGAAGCGGTTCCGCTCTTCGCTCCGCGTCGCCTCCGCGTCGCTGCTTGGGCTCCCCAGCTTTCAGCATATGGACCTTCCGGCTGACCGTCTGAGGGGTGCAGAGATTCCGAATCGGAGTCCCAAGAGGGATCGCAGGAGTCACCGGAAGGAACTGGGAGCGAACACTCCGGTCCAAGTGGGAGAAAGGAATTGGTCCAGCCGTCTCCCTCGAAACCCGAGGAAAAATGTATGTCTGGGAGCCCATCCTGTCCATCTTCGGGGGTGAATCAAGGTCGCCACTGCTCTTCTGACATGCTCATTGGCGGCCAGCAATACTAGCCATAACCCCCAACAACCCAACAACGCCACAGCTGCTCTTCTGCCAACGTGAACAGCTTCTTCTGCTTCTTCGGTGATGTGGACCATCGTCCACCCGACGAAACGCTCGCAGAATCCACACCAGCGCAGAGAGAGAACAGGCGTCATGTCGCATGTGGCAATTCCGAAAGGAACAGCTGAGGGTTCGCATGGTACGAGCAGCGCAAGTGGCAGTTTTAGACCAACAGGTTTTAGATTTGTTCGAGTTGATCAGTGGATGATTAATTAAGCAAACTGCACTTCAAAACCATGAATGGCAAATCGTCTCTGTTAGTCTCTGGCACCTCTGGCACCTCTACGTCGACCAGTCATGGACCACCGTCCACCCGTTCGCGCTACCCACCCCGCCTCCACCCCGGCTCCGCACCGCGGCACCGTCGGGGACGGAGCGGTTCGATCGGCGCGATCTACGTGCGGAGCCAAGACATGGCGGCGAGGAAGACCCGATGCTTCAGGCGACGCTTCAGGCGGCACCACGTTTTGACTGGGATTGGCATAGGATTCGCGATCAATTGGGGTAGTTGCTTGCAGGGGTCAAGGTAGGTAAAAACATCATAATCCATGGAGTGTTGATTTAGTTCTTAGATGTTGTTGCCAAATGCTGGACACGCCACAGTCTGGTATATGATGGTATAGGTGATGTGATAGAGGGCTCCGAAAGAACACATCAAACACGAAAGAAATATTCCTGTAAATCATTTAGAAAACCACAAACCCTGATCATGATTGTCCAGAAAAGAAAACGCCAAAACCATTTCCCAAGAGCCATGTATATAGGAACCCGACCCTTGCGGCTCAAATCCCCGTTTCAATCCACCTCAAAGGTTCAGAGAACCTGGAATACTATAATTGAAAAAGGGTTACGTTGAAAGCATGCCTTGCAACCAAGCTGGGGCGCGGCGTGGACCGTATCTGGACCATAGGACCTGGGTGTCCTGGACCTGGAAGTCCCGAGGGTAGGGGAGGGTAGTAGTCCATTGATGACCCAGACAGGATGGTACTGGTACTTGTACCCATTTTCCAAGGTACGAACAGATCGACTCCAGGTAGTAGAGGTCCTGTAGGGGTCCATCTTGCATCAGACTGCTACCAGTCTGGGAGCCTGCCTGAGCTGGTAGCAGTCTGCCACCCGTCAACCATGACTTGGGATGGAGAATGAATTTAGAAGAAACTGCGCGCTTCACCACAACTCCCATCTGGGGCGCGCGGGCCGGGTGCAAGCAACTGTGCACTTCCTGAACAAAGAAACCTGTCAAATGTAAACTGAACCACCTGAGAACACATACTCCAGATGTCACAAGTTTGGGAAGTTTGGGTGTGCAGTGATTCCCTTATGCCGAGTATCCCAGCAACGTTCCCCGTACATCCTCCAGTCGTGGAACTGAAGAGCGTAGTGATAGCATAGATTGGCTCAGATTCAACAGAAAAATTCACCTCCCCTGCTTGCGGTTCCAGCAGCCTCACCTTTTGACCGACCGAGCTTGAAAGTCCTCAGTCGCAGTCCTTCTAAACCGGTCGCATTGGACCCGTTTGCATCACAGTTCGCCGATGCCACGGCGGACCTGACAAACAAAGCCATCATGGACTAAGGTTGTTGGACCGAGGCAACTTATGTCGCAGCATGAGGCAGGCCTGCCTACGACTTCATGTCAGAAACAAAGGCTCATGGATTGATTGAGGACAGTAGGGTGCAGACATGCTTCATCAAGAAGTAACTACAAAACTTCCCTTTCTGCCCTTCCAGCGCCCTCAGCTCCTCAGCTTCAGTAGATGTCTGTGTTCCTCTAAGTGTAGCCCCGCGTGTTTTTGACTGTTTGCTTCAGGTCCGCCCCCCCTGGGGACCGAGAAGAACGGATCAGTCGAGCTCCGAACACCATAGGCTCTCATGCGCGCTTCGCCCTGCGGTGCCAGTGCTGAACTCATCGCTTGGTTCAAATGGGAGCAGCAAAAGCACCAAAAGGTCTTTGATCCCAACATGACCTTCAGCATGTTGAATCATATTGTATAACGCGTGCATTCGACGTGTTTTTTGGTCCCCAGCTTCATGGTACTGAGATTTGCCAGGTCTGGTCTACCTGGCCATGTTTCGAAGAAGAGATTGCTCCATATGGTGGTCGAAATTCGGAGCGAGTTGCATGGAAATCCTAATCCTCAAAGTGCTTCTTCAATCACGTGCACTGTGCACTGTGCACCCGACGGGTTTGAACCCTCCATCTGGAGGTAATCCTCATCTTTCAACAGTGATCAACTGATTCTAGTGATCCATCAATAGAGCCTTGAAGAACTGAAATCAAAAAGAAATCAAAGCTGCACTTGATATATAATGCGTTACACTGTACATAATATGATCACATTTGACCTCCCCAACACCTAGGCTGTCTCGAGAAAAAAGCACATGATTCAGCATCAGTGCTAGGCCCCTTTATTGAAGGACCCAATTCAGTTTTTGGACCCAACATGGGTGGCACAATTTGGAGACGACGACAGCCACGACCTCTGGTGCTCTTTTCTCCCTCTCAAAGTGCGGTATTGTTCCAACATCGGAGCCGTCGCTGTGCCAAACGCGTCGGCGCCGTCGCGCCAAACGGCGCGACGTCGCTGCAAAGCGCGCCTCTTCGAGCTCGCGCCGCTCGATGCCTTGGCTCGCGCGGCGAGGCTTGGTGGGTGGCGCCTGAAAGAGGGGCCCTTGGGCCTGGCGAGTTGGGATTTCAGCCGTGCTTGGTTCATTTGAAAGTGGATGAAGGCTTTGACCAAACTCTGAGAGGCCACATCCTCGAAATCGAGGCGGAGGATGTTTGTTCAAAGCACTGGGAAAACGTTGCTCGATGTTCGATCTGTATGCAGATCGACCTCCAAAAGTCAGGAGGAACAGGCCACAGGTTGATCGTTGGAAGGCACCCGGGCACCCGGCAAATCTGGGTTGTTCCAGGATGATCCATATGACAAGGCCACTACTTAGTTCATCTTGGGAGGTTTCTTGCACTTCTCAGGTCTTTTTTGTTTATAGTCTGTTTTTTGGTGAGACAATGGGCATCGAGATTCCAACGACATTCCAGTAACAGCTTTCTTGCTAGCACTAGACGGTCTAACCGGTAGTGGTGAACCAGTTTTACCCTCCCAGTGGAAAAGCTCCAGAGACATCCCACAGCAACATCTCTCCAACCCTCAAACGCCCAAGACTGATCTGGTACCTGCCGCAAAACATAATTTTGGAGTTTCTCCTTTTTTTCCAGGTGACATGATTTCCGTGCTTAAACCTGATGAAGTGGGCCCACCCCAATCACTGTCGAAGTTCCTAGCATGATTCAATTCCAGAACAATCGAAACCATCCATACCTTCTGGCTGCAAACACATTGGATGCTTGTCTACAGTATGGTATCTCCAGGATGCTTTACGAACCAGTACACCCTCCAAACTGAGCTCAGTCCTCCAAGTCGAGAACACATGGGCATGCCAGACTTAGAGTGACCAAGCAATCCCTTGGAGAATTTTCTCCAAATTTCCGTTCAATACATATTTCAGAAGCATCCAGACTCCGGGTCACGGAGGAATTCTCACACCTGTGTCCCAGTCTGGGGACCCGAAAAAACGAAAAAACGAGTCTTTTCCCGACACCTGGAGTCTCAGTTCATACCTCAGAAAAATGGGCACAAGATGGTACAAATACTCCTGCTTTTTGTGGTTCGGGTCAGACTCCCATTTTCCACGACCGAAGTCGGGTCCAGGTATAGACATGCCGGGTGGCTTTCGGAGACCTTTCAAGCTTCTGCGAAAACCCCCGCCGAGCGCCTTGGGCCCTGGCCGGGTATCGCGCTTCGAAGGCCTCAACACATAGGGAGAATCATGCGAGTTTGATTCATTTTGAGGGTCCTGAAACTACAATTTCTGAATATGTTCAGTCAGTTCAGTCTATGTTGGTGTTGTGCTTTGTGGGACTTGTCTGAAACTAGCAGCTTCGGAATGTCCAGACACTGCCTCCACATTGAATTTCCTCTTGCACCCGGCATAGTTCATGTAGCGGATTTTGCCAAAGACCTTTCTCTCGGGCCAGCCCATGTCATGCCTCAGCAGCGATCTTTTAGCTCGGATCTTTAAAGAAAGAAAGAGGGCCTTCCTGCGGCCAGGCTGGCGATCATCTCTTCTGGCTAGTCGGCTAGACTTGCAAAAAACACCTTGAACAAAGACTGCTGGTGTTTTGCCAAAAGCCCAATCATTCCAGACTTTCTGGACATCACTCCACGCCGAAGAACGGAACCCCAATGGAGTGCCGTGCTCACATGGGCCACACAGTGCTGAAACTTGGACAACAAACAGCTAATGGATATTTGTATATATATATATATATCCCTCCAAGTCCGGGAGTCAAGGGAAACGAGGTCATGTGCAAACGATCGAGTTTTACGAGACGATCGGAAACACGCCCCTTCTTTCCACTCTCCATCAGCGTCGCCAAGCTTGCTCCATGTTGGTCCTGCAAACGGTGTCAAAAGAGAGCAAAGTCATGCAAAATCTCTATAGATCCAAGACTGATGGATCATACCCACACAGTACTCGATGACATAAGGGACCAGGTTTTGCATGCTTTTGGCAGGTTTTCGAACCCACAGTACACCAATGCCTGCGTGTAAGCAAAAACCTCCCCAAAAGCAGTCCTCCAAATGCGCTTCTTTGCACATCTCAACCTGACCAAACACGTGCCAAAAAAGCACGTGCAAACACGTGGAATTGGCCCTGCAAAACCAACAGACCAGGAATGGTCCCTACAAAACCCTAGGCACTGTAGATCAAAATATATTGAGTTTATACCGTGAACAATTGCAAACTTCTTTCAACATCCTCCAACACCTGGCCCCAGCCTGGCTATCTTGCACAGATAGGGTTCCATGTGACGGCCAGATCATCGCCGACACCTTTTTCATCGTGTCTTCCTCCGAGAAGCAATGCGCAAAGGGGCTGTTGTATCCTTAGCCACATGCACCACAGAAATCAGCTGGAATCAGCTGGAGCCCTCAGGGGGAGCACCAAGGCATCTCCACCAACAATGGAAACCCTACCAGGAAGTAAAGCATAGGAAAACACCAGGGTGGATCATCAAATCAAGGATCTGAACTTGCGGGTGCGCTCCAGCAAGTGCTTGAACATATGCATTTTGGATTTACAAACCAGCACTGCAACCCCATCCTGCCCCAACAAAAACTGCCACAGGTTGAACATAAAAACAAACTGCACCAACAATTCTTCACAAATCCCCAGAACAGTCAACGTCAACTCTAGTGTCCTGGAAGAGACTTTGAGGAGGTGGGTGTGATATTGAAGGAACCGCATTCCAGCCGCATGGATTGAATCTGCTTGCTCCTGGGACCTAGGCACAAGGAAATGACCGATATGGACACAATACCTATTAATGAAGTGTGGCCAAAAGCATAACACAACCACATACCCCTTGCACGAAACCTTTTTAAATATACTTGAACTGCAACCAAAATCACAAGAACCTTGGAGCTTGCTCACACCGGCCAAACCACTCGCACAAAGCTTGCCTTAGGACGCACATGTTGGATGTGACATGTGACATGGCCAAAAGGCATCAACAAGCATTTGCATGGCGAAGCCAACGGGTTCAGCGTGAGCAAAGGGTCATCTGGCCAGCTTTGTCGTCCAGCTTGCACCTCACCTTGAAGCCATCTCCCCAATGGCCTGTCCTTGCTGCACCATGCACCCATTCCCAAAGTACAAATCTAGACACTGGTGGTGATTCCATGCATTAAGCAGATCTATATCAGTGCTGAAGCAGGTCACAGCAAGAACAACCCCGCAACACTCAAGAACAAGTGTCTCGAGGAAAGTCCATTGTCGCTGCACGCAGGGAGGCATCATGCAGCCACTCCAGCAAAACGCATGAGTTCCAGGCTTTGGCCGTCAGGTAGGACCCATGCACATATTGGTCCAAGACTTCAGTAAAGGACCTGTGTGTTTGAGGCTACCTTTCACACCCTATAAACCAAAAAGCACAAAATATGCGAACGGATGGAAAGGTGTGCCCTGGCCCCGTTCTAGCTCTTAGGTCAACATGAAGCTCGCGCGCTAAAGCTCCTTTTTACCTGGTTGGGCACTTGAGCCAAAAGTATATGGCATGTACCTGTATAGCGACTATACTGGGACCCCATCCCTATTGACACCCCCCACATCCGTACTTCGACGGGGAAGGGAGATGAGTGGATGTAAAAACCGGAGAACGAATCACGTTCTCAAAAGTGTATTGGAGGTCAACCAGTATGTCCTATTGAATTGAATTAGCAAAAGATCTTGCATTCGCTTGAAAGTTGGATCAAACAGGCAATGGAGCTACAAGCGGAAAACGTGCACCTACCTATGGTATCATGCGATTACCAACGGTGTGAGACACAATCCTATCTCGCTCCCATGATGCCAAAACGGTCATCATGAATTACCCGCGATCCCTCAGTACTTGAAGTACCGGAAGTAGCATGTCGGTATGACCCCAATGCTCAACCATTCGTGAGTTGTCGCATGTAGTCAGCGCCGACAAAGCCAATGTAGTCCTTGATGAGCTCAACGTTCCTTGGATTTCCCGCTCGGATCTGCTCCTCGAAGGACTTCAATTTCCTTTCTTGGATATCGGATACCTCTATGCCATAGTAGCGGCATGCAACGAGGATCTCCTTCGTGACATTCTTCCTCTCCGATTTGATGGCGGGACTAATGTCGATGAATTTGTATGGAGCGGCACTTTCGTCATCTGGTTTCTGGTAGTAACTATATCGGCTCGCTCCGAAGGTCTTCTTGATCATGCGTCTGATGAAATTTGAGATGAATGCCAATTTCTCGATGATCTCATCCTGGGTCTCAGACTTTCGAGCCTTTGGATCACTCGTGTTGCGCTGAGTGCTGCCGACCTCTTTGAGGTACTTGTGGCTAAGCCCGCAGCGGATTGCAGTGATCATCATCGGATGAACAACATTGGCGTGGAATTCATAGATCTGCCACGCTTCTGCTGCAAACACGTCGTCGGTCCATCTGCTCATACCTACGACCTCGGCTCTCTTGAGACGTCTTGGAAACCCAGTATCCGGATCTTTCGGTACTATTGGCCATCTATTGTGCGGAGTGTCATGCCGCTGTCCATCGTCGAACATTCGCAGTACATCTTCACGACTCTCAAAGCAGTTGATGTCGAACGTTGCGTTGGCCAAGCCCTTGATCAACTTCATCAACTTCAGATCAAATTGCTGTGTGACGGCAAAGTTGTGGTCGATGGGGATCGCAGCTTCTTGCGGCAATTCGTCAATTGCGAAGGGGAAAGGCTTCGGAAGTTCATTCCCGTATCCATCTTGAGGGACCTCCCGATACTCGGGCTCGCCTTCAGCTTCGTCCGGTCGTTCCTTCAAAATGATAGGAACTTCCTCCTCTTCCTCTCCTTCGGATTCCTCGATCTCAATGACCTCTTCGGCTGTCTTGCGTGCGTTCTTGATGACTTCATCGATGTTTGCACCTGCAGCAGAGGTTGTTTCACCGGAAGAACTGGCTGGGACATCTTTCGGAGGTGATCGTTGATTGCGGTCCCTTGTCTCCTTGGGTACCACATGTGTGAGCTTCCCATTCGCGATCAAAACCGCTACGCAGTGCGGACATATCGTCAATCGCACATCGACTTCGCCAAGACAGTTAGGACACGGCCTTGAATCATAGTCTTTCATCGCTCGGCGGTACACGATCTCCTCGAAGAGTTCCTGCCACTCGGTGTTATCATATTCTGGGTAAACACCACTCTCCTCGATCATACCCAACAGCTTTGAGATTTTGGCGTCGTCCTCGGAGTAGGTATCGTCCTGAACCTCAACCGCTAAGCTCTCAAGCTTTTGAAAGCGTGGAATCATGATCGGGTTTCCGTATTTGGACTCTAGAACAAGGTAGCTTCCAGGGTCGGGTTCCCCACTGAGTAACCGGATCCATTCGATCTTCTCAGGCTGTCCGGGTTCTGCATTGTCGCATTGCAACCATGCCCCTTTAACCTCATCGAAGGGAACGACGTTCTCGACCAATAGAGAGCCAGTCGCTGAGATGAGAAGTCCGTACTCCTGCAGCTTCCACACCGGAATGTAGAGAACCACTGGGCGATCCCTCATTGCAACCTTACGACCCAGCCAAGGTTTCCCCTTGTAGCCCTGCTCCCAGGCCCATGGCGGAAAACATGTGAAGTGGATAGAATCCCTTCCCGATGAACCGAGACCTCCCGGCACTAGCCCTCGTCGCATGATTGAAGTCAGCGCTCCGAGATTGGTAGCGTGAAATGCAGTCACCATAGATAGGGCCATGTCGTTGGTCATTCTCGACCCAATGTGGTCGATGTCAATGGTAACGTCATAACCTCCGCCGTCCGTTGAGTGTGCCGAGGTTGCTCTTACAGCCACGGGAAAGCACCACCCATCGCTATGGTGGAGTCTTCCTTTAGAGATTCCCATGTCCTTGAGTTCGTTAATCCATTCCTTCTCCATCGGGTCATCAGGCTCATTGAGTTCATCAGGGTGAACGCGGACCGCCAACATTTGGAATCTGACCCTCTTGGTCATGCGGAAACACTCATAGTTTTGGTCGAAGTACTTCTCCAAACGCGCCTTCTTGGTCACGATATCTATGTTGCCGTAGTGATAACCGTCTTCCCAAACTGCATTATCACCTAACAGGTCTTCCCATGACACCCATGCGCCTTCATCGCATTTGATTGGTGCGAGTCTTCCTCCTGTCCTGAACTGGCGTCCAATTCGATGTCTCAACTTCGCTCCCAATCGACGACTCAGGGCCTGGCTCGTTTGGCTGTATTCAGGTACTCGACAGTCTGGAGTCGGATACTTGTGGTTGCCGTAGTCGGAGTTCTTTGCAGCGAAAGTGACTCCGTTGATCGGTACTAGTTCAACTTTCCCGACCATCGTCATGGGGTCGATCGGCTTGTATCCCTTCTCCCTCCGTGTTGGTAGGGGATAGAAGTGATGACATGCCTTTGGTGTGAGGGAACTGGAGTGCACAAATGCCTTCTCGACAAAT